AAAAAAGAAAACATTAATTTTATATTAACAAAAAATTAAAAACACGAATATTTCCCCATTTTGAGTTTTTTTTTTCACTGTAAATGCATTCACAAAGACAAAAGTTATACTCCGGGTTATCCTTGGAAATTTAATGAAGACACTTTTAAAGTTGATTTGCATGTTGCCTTGTGAAAAAATCTGTCATCGCTTGTCGCGAGTCCTTTCAGGACCGACAGAACGACGCGTCTCATTCAAACGAATTATAATGAAGCGCATATCGCTGAATAAATGCATAAATAAGCGACGCGGAGTGGAAAAAAACGCGGAGTCCAAAAGAATCGCAACAAGTTGGATGAGTTTCTAATTAGTGCAAAGCTGCTCCTTGACGATAAATAATCTAGACGGGACAAATCTTGTTTTAATTTTAATTTTTCATTTCCATTTGAACTCTATACATACAAACTTCAATTTCTATCTTGATTTCACTTTAAATCCTTAAAAAATTCTTAAAAATATTCAAAACTAGCTTTTGCCTTTTTAAAGAAATGAAAAATGCTAGTAATGCACTATAACGCCATCTCTGATTCAATTATGTAACTAAAACTATCATAAAATCTTTATATGAATATCCATCCCCTATTTAACACCCTCTACATCACAATTTCCAATATTTTAATAATTATTCTCATATTCACGACGGTAATGAATCCAAAAAAACATAAAACCTCAAAATCTGTCCAGCCGTTCATGAGTTATAAGCGGTGTAACTAACAAAACTGTTTTTCTATATAGATATACATATATTAACTAATATTTTATCAAAGGATAAAAGCTAAAATGTATTTAGTTTGTGAATTTTTTATAAGAAACCAATACCCGCCAATTTGCATAAAGGATGCAAGGACGAGGACGTCATCAGTGTCTAATATAAAACTCGTGAAAAATATGTAAATGCAAACATAAAAGATGTTCATTAAATCCATGCTGCGTTTATGTGACGTGTTTTTTTTTTGCCTTCACTTTTGAAACTTTAAGGAATAAATATTAAAAAGGGCTTTGCCAACATTGGCTAACAGAAAAAAAACTGGTCTGCTCTAAAAATAGATAAAATAAATATCAGGACCGTAATTATTTCTATTTTGGTATGCAAATATCAATCAAATTTAATTTTCGTGATTCTTTGGGAAAACAAAAGGTTTTTTTTTGTTTCCAACTTTTGTTGAGATTTTTCGAAGAATTTAAACTTACAATCTTGTTAGCGTTCCGCCCTCGAATGAATGATTACACGCTGAGACTTAACTTTGTTCTTCGTTCGTTTTTTCCGTTCATCCTCTTCTGTTTTTTGACGTCTCCGTTGTGCTCGGCTAGCTGGCAATCGAAACTGAAGTCCATTCGACAAGCAAGAAGTGATGAAAAGCAAAGATGCGAAGGTGCAAAGTCTCTGCGCTGCGATTTAAGGGTGTGAGGGGTGCGAAAGGCGCGTTTTGCATAGACACCTTGATTGGCTTCATTTGCGATTCGCAAACAAACTCGCAAGTCTCAAACTCAAACGGTTTAAATTTGAGTAAACTTTTATTTTTTATTTTTTTATATTTTTTCTCTCAAGAGGGTTGAAATATTCACCCTAGATGAATGAAAAAAAAAAATTATATCACAAACGAAAACACAAAATAAAGTTTATTTAATAATTGCATATCATTTTCACACTACACAACAAACACGTAAAATGTTAAATGGGTTGCCTACAGTTTTCATCAAGAAATTTAATTGACCATCAAGACACCGCAATTTATTAAAATTGGATCACACAAAGCACGCAAATAAATACAAGTTTAAAATTGATGTGTAAATATGAAAATCTAAAAAATATGATACAAAACCCAACGCGACGCGTTCGCACGACGTTGACACGGCAAGTTTAACGACTTTTTTAGTGTTTTCCATTCATGTTTATGTTTATGCGGCGCCACCATCGCCGCCATCACGATGATAAAGCTGATAAAGATGACTGATAGCACTAAACAACGATAACAATGTCGTTTTTGTTCGCAAAACGTAAACCATAACATTGCATTATAACTTATACCAGAATATACCGAGTGTTTAACACTCTCAAAAACAAATTAATTTAAGTTACATTTACACAACTTTTTCAGCTAAGTTGTAGTGGTAAACAAAATGTGATTGCGATTGTCGTCGGCGAAAAAGTTGTTTGCAACTTGTGCGCGAAACTGGAAACATCGGCGGACAAAAAAGGAAGAAGCACGAAAAACGTGCAGGCGCACAAGAGGTTTTCATTAACCTGATGGAAGCTTCACTTACTTACCTGCCTCCTTGCACTCCGCCACTTCACATCGCAAGTTCATACTCGTACATGCACTGCTCGAAAAGAAAAGTAAAGAAAAAGCAACGTAAAAATACACCAGCAACAGCTTGCCATTTACTTTATACCTTAGTTGTCATCTCTGAACAAGAAAAAAACAAATTTTCCTTTAAATCAAATTTTTACCTTAAAAAAACTAAAATTTCTAAATACAGCCCTGGGCAAATGTCACATAAACATCATTTCCGGTTAAATTTTATCCATATCTTATCTTTTATCCGTTATTTTATGTACTTTCGGAAAAAGGTTCGTTTTTTGTGCTTTTTTCGAGCATCGCTGACATCGTTGTTCTCGGCTCGTTATCCTGAGCCGGATATGCAAGTATGGCGGCCCCGAGTCACTCTCGATGGCGGCACGCTCGAATTGCCTTGGTGCGGCGCCAGTACAGGCGTAAGGATGACGTGCAGGATGCATATAAATATTAATTCCTTTCGCAAATTACTATCCTGAGCGAGTTTACGAGCGCGCCGGCTATTTTATAGCCATTTTTCTAGTTTATGCCGCGAGGCTACGACGATACGTTGCATTTTATCACCAAAGTGAGTGTCTGTGTACGTGGAGACAACAAAGGAACAAGATAACAAGAAATAACTATGTAAACAACTCAAAGTTATGTTTACAACAGCAAAAAATTGATTAGAAAAGTCATCAAGTAAATATGTTACGTTAGAATATTCTATTTCATTAATATAATTGACAAAATCAAGTAATTTGTTAAAATTTAACCTAAAACCATTAAATTTTTGTTGAACTATAAATTGGTTGTGTTGCAGAATTATAGTTTTGTAATTCACGCCACTACAGATAGGTGGCGTAACCAGTAGTTATGTTTTATTCCTCAAAAAATTATTAGAAAGCTAATTAATGTTATATTTTAGGTTAAAGCAGGAAATTTAACTAATAAAATCATTGAAATATGATAATTTGCCAATTTTTAACCTAAAATCTCGTCAATTTCAGATTTATAATTAATGCCGATGCAAATAGATGGCGTTGTTGTTTCATATTCAATGACATCTACCCCATTGACTTTACTATCGCCTCATCAAGTACTATCCACTAAATACGAGTAGTGTTCCATGACAATAATACAGTTCTGTGACTAGTGTTAAGCACGAATAGAAATATTATACCCGACATGAAGATTCACCGACTTGACTCCCAGATTGTAAGCTGCTAAGACTGCTGAGATGGGAAGCCGCCGGAAACCAGGAATAAGGAGCAGATAATAAGGGCGTATTGTATAGGGTGGCCCATTATTCGCCACTGTTCTACAGTCTCGCCTCGCGTCTAATTCCATCCCGACCGACCACAATTACGGCAACACAGCAGTGTCAAGTAATTGTTGTATTATGTGACATAAGGAATTTTCCGGGTGTTATCAAGGATTATTAAGTCAACTTATGACATATTATCACTTATTACTAATGAATATATAAATATTTAATTAGTTTATAAAGATTTGATGAAATTCTGCGGCCATTTTGTTGTTTTATAAGTTTGGTTATGTTTTTGGTTTTTGATAATTTTGTGAGGTTTTTTGGATTTTTTTCACATTAAGAGACATTTTTTGCTGGATTTTATCCTGTTAATTTGATTGGCGACACTTTCAGCGCATTTTTCCGCTCGAATGAGGATGAAGATGAAGATGAAGATCCAGTGGTGGTAAATTGCTGAAGATTTCTTACGCTGGCCACTTTTTCACAGCACTTTTCGATACGTTTAGCGCACGGGGCGCGATGAGCATTAATCTTGTCCAGTCAGTGGGGGCGGCAAAAGAGCTAAGAGACAAGAAGGAAGCGTTTAATTAATCGAATCGCAATCGAGTCCTTTTACTTTTTTCATCTCTTATTTTTTTTCCTTTTTATTTCCTTGCCACTAAAAGAATATATTGATTTCTGTTAAAAATTAATTTTGTTAAAATTAAACATCAAGGACGAAATTAAGCCGTATACCTGTGATGTGGTTGCTTCACTGATTGCAGACAAAAGTACTAATACCAAATAGGAGACGTAGAAGGGTTGTTCGCAACCCTTTACACATCTGGGTAAACAATAACTCCGTACGCATCACGCAACGCCTCACAATAAGCGCACATTTAACACCTCTGCAGACTGAAACCACCTCATAACACTACTCGCGTGAAAAGGGTGTAGATAATGGTGGAAGTGCAAGTGTTTCACCCTTGAAGATGTTACTAGCAAACACATGTGTGAACATATGAGATCATGAGCTCATGAGCGAATGAAGGATGAAGTATGAACTGGGATGCGGATGCGGTGTGTTCGCGAGGATCAAGGATGAGCATTGGGATGAACGCAAGCCGTGCCAGAGGATGAGGGCGAGGGCATCGCGGTTAACACGCGCGTTGCGCGCATGCTTTCTGTTTGAGTTGTTAATCCTTTATATTAACTTTGTCGAGCGGCGAGGTGGCTGGATTTGTGCGCATCCAGATGCGCGGGATGGCATAAATCCTTGTAAACATCCAGTACACATGTGTTTGTCTTTTAAATTTATCAGAGAATTGAATTAAATAAGAAATAAAAATTTGGTATTAATATAGGCAACCCAATATACATTATGCTGCATTATATTGAAGGTTAAATGTGATTTTAATTTATTTTATTTGTTTCAGGAGCATCAACACCAATTAAACATTTATCCTTGCGTAGTTTGTTACCGGATACGGAGCATTTTATGACCTACGAAGGATCAACAACGCATCCAGGCTGTTGGGAGACGACAGTATGGGTTATACTCAATAAACCAATTTACATCACTAAACATGAGGTAAAAATACATTTTAAGACATGGTAGACAACCCAAAATACCGTTTTTATGTTTTTAATTGATCAATATTAGAAAAAAGATTAAACATTTGCCTTTCAAGCTTATTTTTGTTATGTTATCGATAAACAGTTTACAAAGACAAAACAAATACGTTTGAAGTCAAACAATAACCTACAAACACATAAAAATTACAAATCAACGACAATCAATATAAAAAAAGACGAAATGAGCACATTGAAAACACAAAACATTCGTGGACAGTTCAAACAGTTCTGTACACATCAAATCAATCATTTTTTATTTGTCCTCAATTTTTATTTACTGTATATTACCTTTGATTCTTTTTATTGCCTGCAAACATTAAAAATCAAAACTAAACAAAAACTGTATGCAACCAATATTACATTTACGTATCAGAAGTAGCAGTATATCTTAATATACTAACCAAGTTTATCTAACCTATAAAAGTTGTTTTGTGTTATTTTATTCCGTCACCGCCGCTTTCAATAAGTGCGCGGGAAGATATTGAAATCTATTCGCAAACGCGTGAAACGTGCCCGCTCGCGGACAGCGAGTGGACAGCGGTTTACCCGCCAGCTCACACTCGTCCTGCAGCAGTGCAGGACACGTAGCCAGCCAGTAGACACGTAGCGCACATTCGGAATGTTCGAGCGTCTGAGCGTCCGAGAGTCCGAATGTTGGGCGGTCAGTTGGATATTCCCTCGATGACCCTCGGCCACCGCGCTCGCTTCATCCCTCGCGTTTGACCAGTGTATCGAGTGCACGGCGGCGGGATTGATAAATGTGGAAATGGCCGTTCGGTGTTAACCAGATTACTTCGATTAATTGTGGGCTCCCTATATAAATTGATTACGATTCGATTACAGTGTCGCGGCAGGACGAAATGAATTATTCAATCAATCAGACAATAAAATATTCCAATTTTTTTGTGTTTTTCGCTTTTTTACGTAAAATTTTCAATCAAGTTTAAGAATTGCTTTATTTTTTATGTAGTGTAAGATTCCTCAGGGTGTAATTATTGACGAGGATAATTTATTTTCATTAACATGAGCATATGTGGTAATTATCCCAGTCTAATGACGTTTGCAGTCGTTGGTAGAAAATTAGAAATTTGTCCCCGGACACAATCGCAATCACGATTGGTAGGACAAAAGGACTAAATGACAAAATAACAAAAAGAGTCGTTTTGGGGAGTTTTTGTCCGCCCTGCTTCGACCTGGTGTGTAATGAAAAGGGGGATGATTTATGGCCATCGCCACATTTATTTAATCGAAACTTGTCAGCAAAAAAACAAAGTGTTCTTAACGGGATATAAATTCACTTGAATATTACATTTAATTCAACACTGAAATCATTTTGCCTGCAAATTTACAATAGCGCCATCTAGGATTATATTATTCAACTATAAATACGGATAAATAATTGTAACAACTTTCATCTCTTATTTAACCCTTTTCAAATTATTATTTCTTAACAAAAAACAATTAATATCCTTTACAATATCTTTGAAAGCATTAGTACCAAATTTCATCATGATGGGTTGAGTAGTTTCTGAGTTATAGCGTAACAAACATACAAATTCATTTTTTATTCATAATTTAATAAAATATATATATAAATACTAAAATAAAAATAATATAAAATAAATAAAATAAAAAACTTAAAAAATATAAATTAAAATTCTAATGTTTTTTGATTTTTAATTTAATTAATGAATCAAGTGATGAATTAAACTCGTAGTGAAATGAAACGCAACTAACGAGCCTTTATTTGCCGCCCGTCCGCAGCCGGCCACAACGCAATGAAACGTAGGTTGTAGGTCGAAATAAAAGCAGGAAACGCAGCACTAAGCATATTTCCTACACTGTATTCACCAAGCGTGTGTGCCCGGCGCCTCCACTCGCAACCAAACACATGTAGGCGAACGTGTGACAAGCGCACACTGGTTGAGGCCTGGAAAACACCGAAAACGTACGGACAAATGGATAAACGCCGCAAGGGTGATTTGTCATCTGTAGTCCGCGACCGTAAACAAAACACAAGCGCGTCACCGACAACCACTTGGAAATTAATCATAACACAATTAATTTTTGATTTCGAGGTTTTACGCGGTGTTTTTTAATGTTTTTTTCGGCGCGGATGGGTTGGCTATGTAGAGTGTGTGTATACATTTAGGGTAACATTTCACTTTATGCAAATTATACAGAGTGTTAACAAAAATTTATTTTTTGTGATTTTCAGTTGTATGCGTTGAGGAAACTAATGCAAGGATCGGAGGACGCACCGAAGGCTCCATTGGGAAATAATGCTCGTCCTTTGCAACCTCTTCATCATCGGACGGTTCGGACGAATATAAATTTCCAAAATACACAGGTAAGTTATTTGAAAAATAAATTTTTGGAAAAAAAATTGTTTTGTTTGTTTATGGGATCGTTTTTCTGTTACAAATTAATTAAAAGTAATATTTATTTAATTTCCAACTATAAAATGCATTTATTTTGGGATATTTGAAGAGTAAATTCAATTTAAAGGTTTTTAAAGTTGCATACATTACAATATAATATTTGTATGGCTGCCTACGCGTTTTTACAGTTTTTAAAGTTGCCTACATTAATATACAAAGGTTATATGGTTGCATACGTTAGATATAGGCACAAATCAAGGTTAAAACTGAATAATTTGCAATATAACATGACAAAATGATAAAAATACCTTTAAAATGTTATTAAAGCTTTATTAAATAAATACACTCTAATATGTTGTCTAATAAATTAGAAAAATGCTCGAAAATATGTTAAAAATGATCGCTGGTTGAAAATTTTCGCTGAAACTTTAAAGCATTCCGTCACTTTTGTCGCTTCCCAGCAAGCGTCGCCAGGATGCGACAAATACTTGCGAAATTGTTACGCGCGTACACAATCCGGCAAGTTTTCCCCGTCGGCGGTTGTTGTTTTCCGCGCGCAAACTCCACAAAAGGACTCAAAAGCAGCGAGACAGCAGGAAAAGCAACAAGTTTTAAATATTTACATAATAGCTGCCGAGCTTAAATAAGAGGCGGCCGACTTAGACCGCCAACGAGAGGAGACTTAAACGATTCACAATTCGCCGACCAAAAGATTCACCAACTTCCCTCACAATTACAAAGAAAAGCGAAAGGGAAATACGTGTGAATTAAATTTCAAAGCATTTACAACAAAACTCAAACACTCTCACATCATAATATCGCAAGTAAATCATAAATCACTCATATAACTTTAAGTTTTTGAATTAAATATTAATTAGTACGGGCCTGTCGTACGCAGGAAACAAAAAGTAAAGTTAAATCCTGTAAAAATAAAGCCCTGCAATTCCCAGCCGGAAAAATCTATTAACATTGCACGTGCACGCATTAACAATTCCGTTTTTCCTGCGTTTCCTGCTGTTCCCAAAGCTTACCCTCAACTTTTTCGACTTTTTATCACTCTCTCCCACGACCGGACAACACACAGCGCAACCGAAGGGATTCTCTCCCTCAAAGGTATTAACGCCAACGGTACATCCAACCCACATTTAAATAACACACAAAGTATCCGACGCTGGCAGTCTATTTGCCGCCCCCGCTAATAATAGCGCATTAATTCGCCGAGGCCGGGGCGGCCAAAAAAGCTGCTAATTATCCCTCGGCTCGTTATACATTCCATTCCCCTTCGACAACAGCGACAAAGAGTCGCAGTGCCGGCCAGCCAAGAAAAGGTTATGTGTGAGTGGCGGCGGAGAGAAGGCAAAGAGGCAAAACGTTGCGCGCATAATAATCATCCCTCGTCCGGGAGGAGGTTCTTTATACCGAACTGGTTTTTGCGCCGCGTGCGGTGCTGAAGAGAACAGATGAACACTGCCGGCGGATACAATGAACCAGTGAACCACCCCACCGGAGGAAAATATGCAAAAATGCAGAAAAAAAGCAGCAAATAAAGCACAAAAAGTGACAGAGAGATAAAAAAACACAGCAGCAGCAGCCGCCAGCGACGAGAAAACAGATTGTACGTTTGTGCGGGGGCGATGAGGGCACGTTTGAGGGCGCACACGAGGAACATAATTAATTAGCTTTCGAAATTAGCATGCATGCTCGCCGTATTTACACAATGTCATAATATTTTATGATGACCAGTGTAATAAAATATAAGAGATAACTTTTTATGTTTTTTTTTTATTGTTTTTTTACTTTGTAAGCCGAAATAATTTAAATTGACTTAAATGTTTAATTCTATAATGAGCTAGTTATAATTTGGGTCAGATCGGGTTCGGTGCGAACGTGCGCGACTAGTTTATATACAAATTAACCGCCCGGTGAATTTTAATGCTTGCGCGGGGCACGCGTTAATGCGCCGCGGGTGAAACGTGTCGCGAATACGTGCTGCCGCCCCCGCAGCACCAAAAACGAATTTTTGCCAAGTTGCTAACCCTTGTTCACCCCGGCGTGAGATATGCGCAGGTAGAATATGTGAAATTGCGAAAATTTCACAAAACAAGAAAGCGGAAATTAGAAAATTGCAAACTTTACATCTAATTTCCTGCTTGCGGAAAAAAAAAATTGGCAGATATTTAAAAAGTTTTATTTTTAGTTTTTATGGAATTTTAGGTGCTGGTATGTGTGGAATTTCTGGACGTGCGTTGCGCGTAAATTAAAAATGTTTTAAATTTGTGCAGGCGTCAGTAAACAACAATGGCCGCCTTGTTACCGCGCCGCAAACACGTGCGATCGCATTACTGAACATTGCCAAACATTGTTGAAGCACGAAAACACCTTCGAGCACATATTACATTCAACAATTTCAACAGTTTCAAATACCAAACACACAAATTCATTCCAAATCAAAAGTCCTCAACGAAAAATGACAATTATTCACTTTTTTTTGTTAAATTCATGTTAAAAATGAAATTATGAAGGATTTGTTTGTTTGTGACCCTTTCTAGCAAAAACCACTGAATAAATTTTTATAAATTTTGGTATAAATATATTTATGACTAGGAAAAAGGATATAGACTACTTTTTAATGCAAAAATGTTATTTTAAAGGTGTTAAATAAGTGATTAAAGATGATAATTGTGGTAAATCATAGTTATAGTTATATAACTCATATCTAGGTGGCGTTAAAGCCAACAAAACACACAAAATCATTTCAAAACAAAAATCTTCAACCAAAAACGGCAATTATTCACCTTTTCCGTCAAATTACAAAAAATTATTCCCGAAAAAAATTAGGAAACTGTTCTATTCTCATCGCGAATTGCTATTGCACGCCGTGATTGAATATTGAGCAAGCAAATGGCCGTGTGTCGTTGTGTAAATTGTTCACTACATTTGTCGCAGAGGGAGAATATGTGTGTGGGTGTGTGTGTCCGGAATGTAATTGTTAAATGGCGAAAACTAGCGAAACGTGCGGAACGTGCGGAACACACCATTCGAGACGAAACAAGCGAAACATGCGAAATGTGCGAAACGCCAAATGAAAACGGCTAACGAGAAACGAGACGCCGAACGCGTCGCGAGCAAACAGAGCGCGGCGCCCATTGGGTCGGCGCGAGTTTTCCAATTTCCGGATTTTCAAACTTGTACGCGTACGAGGGTACATAATGCATTTCATTCAGTCGGTGTGCAGACAGATACTTTTTCATAGAGGGATATTTGGGGGCTGTTTTTGAATAATGCTGTCATAATAATTTGTCGTTTTAGTAAAATTCGTGGAATTATGCATGTTTTATGTGGTCATCAGTTGGTATTTTTGATTTAACTTTCATTCATTAATATTTACAGTGGTTTAGTTTAGTGTTGGACATTTAATGACTTTTTAGTGCGGTGTTGTTACATGGAGGAACAAAAAATAATCAAATATTGGGATTTTACATGGATTAGCAATTAGTTTAGTAAATATTTTCTAAAGTTTAAATATGAATTCAAGTTGCTATGTTTTATTCATTTGTGTTATGTTTATATGAGTAATGAGATTGAAATATTGTTTTGTTTTTGTGTTTAATACGCATAGGAATATGATTTATATTCGTGTATGAAAATAACGGTGTCATTGAACTGCACTGACTACTGATAATATTTGTAAATAAACTGTTTGCCTCGGCTTCGCACGAGAAGAATTTACTAACGTAGAAAAAACATTCAGCACTGTGCCAGGTATAAACAATCGTGAATTTAATGCAAATAAGTGCATCGTATTGCCATCTAGAGTCAAACTATATTACTATAATAACTATGAATGAATTTGCACATCTTCTTTCTTTATTTATTTACATCTTTTCAGTTATAAATCGCTATCAAACCTTGTGAGATCGACCGCAATCTGAAGGTGGTTTTAGAATTATATCAAATTGTTGTCCAACTAGACTGTCAGTAAATACATACTACTCGGTAGTGTTTAATAAAAATGTAATTCGTTTTTACTCTCTTTTTGTAGACATAGGATTTGTCAATTCTATCAATAAGATTGACAATTTAAATTTAAATTAATTAATTCTATGAAGAATCGCAAATAGATAGGAATAAAAATATTTCCTGCTTTTACACTGAGGAGCTGTAATGTTATAACAAGAAAATTTAATTCACTGAGATTGCAACATTGTTTTGTTTTTGTGTTTAATATGCTTTGGATCAAGATTTATATTCGTGTATGAAAATATCCGTGCATTGAATCGCACTGACTACTGATAATATTTGTAAACAAACAGTTTATCTCGGCTTCGCACGAGAAGAATTTACCAATGTAGAAAAAACATTCAGCACAGTACCAGGTATAAACAATCGTGAATTTAATGCAAATACATCTTTCCAGTCATATTGTCGCTTTTTAACTTCGCGTGATTGACCGCTAAACAAATTTAAAGGTTGCTTGAGAATTATATCAAATTGTAGTCGTGCTAGACTGCCAGTAAACTTATACACATTTTCAAGTTCTTTTTCATTTGTTATATTATTTATTCTCAAAATAAAACATTTTATATTATTTTCTAAAGTTCAATCTATCTCTATTCCAATTTTTATCAAAATTGATCCAATACTTTAGATGTGAAAGAAAAAACAAACATACTTTTATTCATTTATAATATCTATATACATTAACACAAAAGAGTTAAAAAGTTGAACACAACCAGCAGATATACGTTATTCCTTGTATTGTATATAAAGGTGGTCACAGCTCCTTCATTATTCTCTAAACCCTCGCGCCCCAAACCAACCCGCGCGAAACGTGTACTCGTATACATTTCACAGTGCGATAATTAATGCGATGCCGGGTCGCTGTTAGTGTAATTGCCATCGGCCTGATGTTTCCTCCAACACAAACATAACCTCAATCCTAAAACAACAACAAAAAATAATAATAAAAAATAAAATCATCTTTAATGCTCTATTTATTTCTATTTATTTATTTATTTACATAAACCAATTAATTGTTAATATTTTATTTTATTTATTTTCATTTTTTATAAATATTAATCCAACGCTGTATTTCTTGCCACCGAGAAAAAAATAGAGTGTGAGTGTTCGATGTTGAGGCGGCAGCGTTGTGGGGGCGGCTAATGTGCACTTTGCATGCCGTCGCTACACTTGTAACGCGCGCGCGGGCAAACGTTCGCCGCCTCAACCTCATGCTTCTTGCCGCCGCGCCGTGCCATCCACTGAAGTCCATTCCCTTCTGGTGTTAAGTGATAGATGACTTTCTTAGGTCTAAGTCCTGGTCTTGAGAGGGGCGGCGTGCGGCGTGCCCGCGCTTAATGCGCCGATAGAATTGGTAATTGAAACCGTAGCGCGCCGTATGACCGATAAATTTCTATTATAACATAGAGAGTGCGAGTACATTACGGCCGGGTTGGGGGCGGCAGAGGAGAAACGCCAACGGCTGCGAAAGAAGACAATTAAGTTGTGATTTATTGCTATTATTATGTGTCATTCATATGCACGTCGCGGTCTTACAAGCGATAAAAACACTCAAATCTTCTACAAAGAGAAACAGAAATTAATTTTTGAAGAAAAACAATAATTTTAAATGTTTTAATTGTTTATTTATTAAATATTAGTGATAAACATGTGTAAATTATGATTTTAAGAGTATTTTTATATTCACGCTTTTTATAAAAGTGAAAGAAAAGTTTATTTCAGTTGTAAATTGATTTCTTTTTTTTTTCGATGATTTTTCTATAATTTATTATCTGTTATTGACAGAACAACAAGTTTTTGTTACACTCGGTAGAGGCGTAACATTATTACATAATTTAATTCCGTGTTTAGCGCGCGCGCGGCCTGTCGTCTAATTAGTTTCTACATATTTTATTCCCTGCGTTCCTCTGTCATAATTTATGCAATTCTCTGTAGTGCCAAACGCAGTCGGGGCTAAGTCGCGTTCGTCGCATATGCAAATGCGTTTACTGCAAAATTATGCATAACTTAAAGTCTTCCCTTTGTGCGCGGAGTTTTTATTGTTCTGTTTGTTTTATGCATCGTTTGTTTTAGACTTATTGCCGGCTTCCAGCCGAGTTATTACTTATATGCTTGTAGCACGCAAAAGTAGCGCATGCGTAAAAATATATATTGAATAATTACAGAGTATTTTAATTAAAATATTTACAATAAATATTAATGTTTTTGTCATTTTAGGAGAGAAAAACTGTTTAAAATATGATTTATTGATAAATCTACAAAATAGGTTATGTTAAAGTGATACTGCGCATGCGCAACTCAAATTACTGGTAGTCTTTTACCAATTATCTGTTATTTTTTCAATTTTCAGTTAAGTTTCTGTTAATTTTTCACTCAGAATTTGAATTAATTTTCAATTCACTGAAAATGTAACATTATTTTGTATTTGAATTTAATACCCATTGGATTAAGATTTATAGTCGTGTATGAAAACAACCATATCATTGAATCGCAGTGACGAGTACTGATAATATTTGTAAAAAAACAGTTTGTCTCGGCTTCGCACGAGAAGAATTAACTAATGTAGAAAAAACGTTCAGCACTGTGCCAGGTATAAACAATCTTGAATTTAATGAAAATAAGTGCATTGTAACGCCATCTCGATTCAAACAATACAACTATAATAACTATGAATGTATCTAACTATCAACTTTCATTCTTTATTTACATACACAATGTGTGCATTGCACCATTTCGTCGTAGTACTAGATTTGTCGCTAAATAAAGTAAAGTTTAAACAAAGTTAAAACTATAATAATATATTAAGTATCAAGTGCGCTAAACGGCACTTTAACAACGTTTAGCCAAGTGATGCCTAAGCTATTTTTTCTACTTTAATGCAATTTTCACATTAAGGTTTTTGTATTTAAATTTTTGTATTTTAAATCATCGAATTAAAGTACTTTAGTCACGACTTTGGCAGTCCGTGATTAAAATTCCACTTTTCGTACTTACAAACCGTGGAAAAAGTAGCACTTTAAAAGTGGAAGCAGAAAAAACCTTATTATTCTTAAAACGTAGTTTTTGTCACCTATAAATTGAAATAAATATTCAAAATATATATTTCACACACAATTTATAACAATGAAAACGCATATAATACGAGATAATGTGTTACTTATACGAAACAAGCGAGTTTCCGCTGTCGAAATTGAGCGCTAGCTCTCGTCGCACTCTCGCGTTATTTGCTTTGTACACGTGTACTAATTGTCTGCACAAAGGTAACGAATAAATCGGGATCTCGCGTTCCCTCACCACCCCACCAACATATGTACCAAACCACCCTCTCTCGTATCATCCCCACAACACCTACGCCACCTACACTCACCTACATATCTTGCACTCCCGATAAAGACGGCGTGTGCGCGTTGTACGCGGCGTGCGCGCTATCTGCGGATGGCGAAATTTCGTGCGAAATTAGTCGCGCCACGCGCGCTCGTTATTATTCCGCGCGGGAGGGCCGCTTCTTTATTACATCCATCCACCTCACACCCGCACCGCGCGCCCGCTTCTGGTTTCCGTCCTCCGCCACCTTGCGTAACGAATTCGCCTTTATAAATTAACACGAAACGAAGCCGCCGCTGCCGCGTAATACCTAATTTCGCTAATAAGACAAGAGGTTTATGCATTCATTACGGCTCTTTGCCGCGCGCCGCCCCCGCCGTTTTATCATATCGAGCATGTGTGTGCGCCGCGTCAATTTCGCCAGCGCCAGCTTTAATTATTTACTAATTGACGCATTATAGTAAGTAATTCCGTCTGCGCGCCGGAAGTGGAAGTGTTACAAAGCCGAGACGAGGCAAAACGACACGGAAATAGTTGTCTAATAAATCATGCCGTAATTATTACGTATCAACACAGCACAATACTTATTACAAGCAAAATAAAAAGAATTAATTACCACATTTACATTAATATACATATATTGCGCATGCGCAGCAAAAAAATATTTAATTTAATTGTATATTAAGTATCAAAACACAAAATTAATTAAAAACCTTTGACTAATGCGCAGGCGCAACCTTCACCACGTGAATAAAGTACTTTAGTCACGCCTGTGATTAAAGTGCCGCTTTTCGCACATCTAAACCGTAGGAAATGTGACGATTTAAAAGTGAAAGTTAAAAAATACGTTTTTTCTGATTTTTTTACTAAAAAATATTTTTTCTACTTTTTACAGAACAACAACTGTCCGAGCATGTACAAGGAGATGTATTACAAAGGTAATAATGGTAATAACAAGTTTGAGACCATCTGACCTGACCTCTGATCAACCCCCAACCCTCGCCACCTTAACTCCTTGCATGCAAAACCCTCCTCCGCGCCTAATGGAGCTTTGTTGTTCCAGCTAATAAATGGAGTCCCGTCGATGTCAAAGAGGTCGGCACCTTGCAGTTCTCGCTGCATTGAAGAACCGGAAGGACGCTTCGAGTGAGTAGTGAGTAGTGCCGGTTATTTTACCGCCGCCTCCCTAACCGCACGGACGAGGCACTAAAAACTTAATGATAGTCAATAATAATGTTAAACTTGCGCGCCCCAGCGCTAACAAGCCGCCATCTAGCCATCAAACGGACGAATGTTCGAGGACACGACCCGAGGCGAAAATGGCGCACAGCTAACTTTGTTACGAGTATGTAAAACTAACTGCAAATCGGCCAATAAACCACCAAGCAACTCATAAAAGTAAGAAAACATGATAAAACACGTCATATTGCATAAAGAAACATCCTATGATATAAATAAAACCACCACAATTAAAAATGAATGTATATACGTATGAGAATTTAAGGTTATGATTGTTTCGAGTATGATTCTCATTGAATTAGTCTTTATAACCTACGTATTAGGCCTGAGGAGTTGTAGATTGAGGTTAGGGAACGTCGAGTTCTAGCTAATGTGTGTGTGCCAGCGGATTTGTACCCTAGTAGCAAATTATAAACAAAAAATGATGAGGATTATTCTCATTTCTTACCAAAAATTCTTCGCTGACTTGTAATTAATTAATTAATTATTAATATAATAAAGAACGAAATGTTATTATGAAAAATACTTGTGATATTCTGCAATGCAATAACGTATCTTTCAACTTTTAACTTATTCAAAATGAAAAAGTTTAGCAATACATTGAAAAAAAATCAAAAAAAAAACTCAGAAAATTCATTTTGAGTTTTTGCGAAATAAATCAAAATAATTCAGCTCTGTAAACATTTTTGAAGCGTTTTTGTTTTTGATGTTTTATTGTGTTTCATTAGGGTTTTATTATGTTTCATTAAGGTGTTGTGCATTGTGTTGTGGCCAAAGTGGAGCGCAATTTTCGTTTTATTCACTTCAGCGGTGAGTTTTCACGATTCTCGTGATTTAATCTGATTTAATCTCTTAACTGTTTACATTATCAAAACAAAAGCAGCACAAATGAATACCGGCGCATGAAAACGAATGAAAACAAACGAGAGCGTAATTGTCAGCTAATGAGAATGAGATTAGCATGCGAAATGTAAAAAACACTTAATATTCCTGCCGCAGATATAAAAAAAGTTACATGACAGACATGAAAAGAAACGCAGCAAATTAAAAAATGAATTAAAATTAGTATTTACGTGAATTGCGGCGGCACGAACGCTGGGTTTATTAATTTTCAAGCGGAAATATTTATTAATAACCTGATACAATCAATTACAACCACAAACAAGTCAAATTTGTTACGATTTTCGAGTAATATTGCATTTTTGCTTCTGGTTTTGGTTTGAATTGATATTTACAAGTAACATAATGTCAAAATATGTAAATATGTACGCCTGTAATGATGTAATTAAACCGTTTAGCTATTAAGAAGTCAAACTGCTACTGAAACTAATAATTACGATAATTAACTAATTAAGAACTAAAAAAGCATTGCGATATAAAAAGAAAATAACATGTATAAAAGAGTAACAAAGTAAACAATGTAAAATGTAACACAGAGTAAAAGAAAGTTTGTTGACTTATTATTAATGTTTGTAAGTATTACTTATATAGTGTTATTTTATTTTAATTATAAACGAACAGAAATCAGGTTTGTGTTCGATTTGTAAAACAGCGTACTGTATGCAACCCATTAAACATTTTACGTAACTTCACACTCTAACCACACACTTGTGATGCGGTATGCTAGGTGTATATTGGGTTGCATATAATATTTTTACAAAACGTACATAAACTTTTAAACTGTTTCAATAAATTTACATTATATAGTATCAAAACGATAAAACAACAACTAATTATACAATAAATGCGTGAATGAGTTATTATTATTAAATTTTTAGATGAAAAATGTACAACAAACTGTATTTATTTACGATTTTATGTAAAAATTCTACGATGCAGGTTTCGTTCTCAACTAAAACACAGTTTGCAGCGAATGCAGTGACATAAGAACGCAAACAAAGTCCAATTTTATTAGCGCCACGCGTACGATGTATGAATAATGAATTATTTATTAAGTATATTGTCATTATAATAAAACCTAGTAAGCAAAGGCGAAGCAATGCGATGTGCGAATGTGGATGCAACGCAATGAAATGTTGGATTGAGGTTATGAGCAAAATGATTGCGAAATAAAAGTGTAAAATATTCAACTGGTCGTTTTATTCGTGAATGATGACTATTTACAAAGTTATACCTTATTTTATTGTTATAAACTTGGTTGGAATACAAAATGGCGGTTGTAAAATATAAATTTGATCAATTCTAACCTATAAATACGAAATTTTGTGTTTTCATTCATAAATTTGAATATAATTATTTAAAAACCAAGTTAAGAGCCAATATATCAGTTCCAAAATGTAAACTACTCCCTAAATATTCGTTTTGTTGTTTTGAAGCTTTGCGTGACGGCACGCATTTGGCGCGAACAAAACAGGCGACGACAAATTTTAATTATCGTTTGCATGTCGTTCATTTTCCTTCGCCTTCGACTCGGACACCCGTTTTCTTTTGTTGCCCTATAGCGTTTTTTCAGTGTATTGCCGCACTAAGGGTGCGACACGATGTCATTTATTTATTGCAGCGTTACATAAGTTGGAGAGTTACATAAATTAGCGCATGGCGCGCAACATGCCGAGGGGGTGGTGGAAATAACGACGGAAAAATGTCGCGCGTCTAATTAATGGCACACGTTCCGCGTTTTGTTCGTTTAGTCGCATTTTATTGCACGCGAGCGCAAAACGAGGCTTTTCTTCTAGGAATATGGAAATATATCTAGGTGGAAATGTAAATATGGACACGCTTTTTAAAAATGAAACAAACGTAACAGGTACACGAGTATAAAAAGAGGTTATAAATAATATGGCAACCTAAAAATACTTTCAGATATGTTACTTTTCGTTAAAATCAAGAAAAACGCACAATTTTCTAGGTTAATATCAAAAATATTGTATGCAACCCGTTAAGCAGGTTACAGAATTTCACACTTTTGACAGCAGTATGTGATGTTGCAGGCTTTGCGTATATTAGGTTGCATTCAGTTAGGTATTTCACCAACCAAACATTTTTCTATATTAATAAATCAAAAAAAGCAAATAAATTGATAAAAAAGAATCCCGGTGATGCTTGAACACTGCTTACTTCTTTTTATGTGCCGATAAGACATTGATAACAGTTATTCCTGCGCGAAATCGTCTGGATAATAGCCGATCGTCGATTGTCGATTCGGCGGCGGAAAGTAATAAACGCTTTCTCTCGTCAAACGACATGTTTCGGCGTTTCGGTGGCGTTTCCTTTCAACCCGCGCGCGTGGAAAACAACCGGCCCACCATTGCCACCCTCCATAAAACGTTTTCACACCGCCACCGCCGCCTCAGCCGCCGCCAAACAAGACGAGCGCGCATTATTTCAGCTGTATAAACGGTCCCTTCGTTCGCTCGTCTTGATTTACAACTTTATTTCCGTTTATTGCCGTCTTCGCGTCGACGCCGAAAACACTCACCGCCTCACCGGGCCCCGGAATCGATGTCTTCATTGCCTTCATCCTTTTCGGGCTTGATTTCCGCAGCCCGCAAACTCTCAAAACAATTGAATGATGCATTAAACATGAGCGACACGTGTAAAAAAATGTTTCAGAAAAAATCTTTTCTTTTTTTTTGTTTTTGTCTATCAATAAGTATCTTTTTATATTTCTGTGATGAAATAAAAGCACTAACAAACAGAACGCGACTGTGCTCGTCATCGCGTTCTTTGAGTGAGTCGAAATGGTAATGAAGAAATTAATTCGAGAAACGCAGTCTGTTTGCCCGCTTCGATTGCGAGTTTTTATAGTTTTCCTTTGTCCCCGCGTCGTTTTCTTTGTCCGGAGTCGGCTTCGCTGCTGGGGATCCACTCGCGCTAAACGCATTCGCTTACGAGTGCTCACAGATGTCTTTTATATACTGCAAAAAGAGGGAAAAAACGCTCGGGTTCAGGGACAACTGGAAGGGAATCACTGGTGAATTATACGGCCGGTGGTTTAATATTAATGAGAGAATTTTGATTAACTGTGGACGACGCATCGGGCATGAACGGTTCTTTCATCTTCAAATAGAGTCCTTTAAGATGGACGCATGGTTTCGACATTTGGTGGTCAAAGGAACATCTTTTATTGTGAGTTAAATTACGTTTTCTTAGAAAAGTGTTACTTTTGTATGTAAAACTAGATTTAAATTTTAAAAAATAATTATTTTCTTGTTTTCTGTTAAGTCGTTAATAAAATTTTGAATTTTATTTTAAGTTAATGAGAATTGTTAATAGTGCGCCATCTATAAGTGATTTATATAACTATAAACATGATAAAATCTCCATATTAACTTTCATTCCTTATTTCACACCCTTCTAGTTATATGTTTACAATAAAAACTTGACGTTTTATTTTTCCTTGGTCATAAACGTCTCTATACTAAAATTTATGAAAATTCCTTCAGTAGTTTTTACGTGAAAGAGCAACAAACATACAAAATCCTTCACATTTTGCATTTATATTCATCTCTAGCATGATATTATTAAGTGAATGTTATGATTTACTCTTCATTTTCTAAATCTTCTCTAAATTAATTTTAGTGTGTGAAGTTTCCGATCTGTTTGCGTAGGACGTGCCCGAGCAGAGCGCTAATCTCTAAAATTATGAGCTTAATCCTTAAATAATTCATTAACAAAACAGTCGAATGTAGTGCGTTTTCGCCGGGCTGGCAACTGTTTGGGTGTGTAGTGGCAGTAGCGGCTGGATATCAAACAATAATTACAAAATTAGCAAATTACTGCAAACCACTGCAAACACAAGTGTGATTAGAGCCGAAAGTCACAAAGTCTCAAAAACAAACAACGCTACTCTTGTAAATTTCATCGTATTAAACTCAATTTTGGTACTGAGAGTTGTTAAATTTACTTTCAATTCACTGAGAATGCAGTATTGTTTTGTTTTTGTGTTAAATACACGTTGAATCAAGATTTATATACGTGTATGACAATAACTTTGGCATTGAATCGCACTGACTACTGATAATATTTGTAAACAAACAGTTTGTCTCGGCTTCGCACAGTAAAAATTTACTAATGTAGAAAAAACATTCAGCGCAGTGCCAGGTATAAACTATCGTGAATTTAATGCAAATAAGTGCATCGCAGCGCCATCTCGATGCAAAATAAATCACCACATCATCTTTCTTTGTTTATTTACACTTTTGCAGTTATATTGTCGCTATCACACTTCGCCTGCTTGACCTCTCGGCTAATCTGAAGGTTGCTTGAGAATAGTATCACAATCCGACCAGCAGATTGCTAGTAAATGTACAAATTTAAATGAAATATAGTACATATTTAGTTTTGCTTTTGATTCTATTTATTCCAACTATGCTTATAGATTTTTGTTTAATGTATGCAACCAGATTAACATTCTGTCATAAATTTTCAGCTCTAATTTGCTGTTTTTGTCAGTGGCAAATTTCTACAAGTAATTGTTGCTTTATACTTAATTGACGATTAATATTTGCCGTAAAACTATATCAAGTGCTTCAGTTAAAGAATATATTAACAAACTCTAATAGAAATCACGTTTTAAACCGAAGTAAGTACACTTTATAAGAAAATTTTCACGATTGTAACTTATAGGTTAGTTTAGGTTACACCATCGCAAATGATTCCAAACCAGTTATTCGTATTCCATTGTTTCTACATTAAGGTGAGTACCAAAATATACAAAATTAATACCTAAGCTGATTAATTTACTCTTTGAATGACTGTGACTTTACGTACAAATTCGAAAAATATGTCGTCTTACAATTCGATGCTTCGCCCGCATCATTCTCCACTTCTCCATCCTTCCGAAGGTTTTCGTAGGCTACGAAAACTTTCGACTTTTATGATTATGAATTTCTCGCTCGGTTTTTCTAGAATAAAAGTTTGTGTGGCGCGCGGATTTTAATACCGTTTCGCTTTCTGGCTTTCGTCCACTTTCGTCGTCGCTGCACTCCGCCTCTGAGGGCTGGAACATACTTTGATACTTAATTAAAAGAAGTTTTACTTCATCTTTCAGCACGAGGCAAAGAAACAAAAAAGCGACCGTGAGCGCAATGTGCTTTTCCGTCTCGACGCTCAGCACCAGCAGATAACTCAACTATTTTCGCATTTTCACACCGGCGTGTGCGAGAGAGGGTGGTGTTCTTTTCATTTCGCCCTCGCGGCGAATGGTTTTCATCTTGATCTTGGATCTTGGCGTTTGTTCAAAATTATAGAAAAGTTATTAAGGCATGTCGTCTTCTTCCCCGCGTGCTGTTCATAATCTGTGATATTTCACAGGAATATTAACGGTTCAAGATGTCTGCCACGTCTATTCTACCTTTGTTTCTTTTGCTTGTTTTGCAATTGTCGGAAAACTAATAAGTGGAATCACATCACAAAGTAATACTACTGTAATCGAAGTAGTAGTCTTTCAAAAATACACTTTAACGCCATCTAGATTCAAATTTTATAACTAAAACTACGATAAAATCTCTATATTAACTTTAATCCTTTATTTTGCACCTTTGCAGTTAAATATTTACGATAAAAAGTCGCTCATTTCTTTTTCCAAAGTCAAAAGTATCTCCATGCTAAAATTTATCAAAATATGTTCTGTGAATTTTGCGCGAAAGCGTCACAAACATACAAATGCATACAAATGCAATTATTCGGAAAACTAATACGCGGAATCACATCACAAAGTAATCCTACTGTAATAATACAAGTAGTCTGTTAGACATTAAATTGACGAAGGCATTTCTCAATGTTTCTTCGTTCGAGGATATTTCTTTCTAAGCGCGCGCCCGCCTTAGAAGAAAAACGAAATAAATGGTTTAAACTCTCGTGCTCGCGCGCTCGAGCAATTTGAATATATATGTTTCGAGAAGTCGTAAATTTCCCAACTAATGCTCGACGTCTCGTTGAAGTGTGCGCGCGTGTGTTGGGGGTGGCAGGTTGCGGGGGTTGTAGCGAAGAAGGAAGCATTCTTTTACGCGCGCCGCGCGCTTCCAGCGACAGAATTATTACTACTTCATCACTCTCGAGGAAACGCTGAAACGAAACAAGACAAGATGAAATACTTAACCGACGCTCTCTCTGCGAACGCAACGGAACGGCTCTCCTTGACGTCGAAGAGGAGTTAATTAAAAATATAAATAACCAGCGACATTTTATTGGTTCACTTCAAAAATATGTGTAGTGCACACTGTGTATGAGTTATACTTATACAACATGGCGTCATTATTATGACATACTGCGCATGCGCACAACGTGTAACCTTTAATTTTGACAGTTGGTGTGTCAAACTATAACCAACTATTACATTCACTTCAAATCATTTTTACTATTTTATTTAATAAATACAAACTTAAAACATTTTTTGTTTTTCAAAAATAACACTTAGCGCAAACAATATAAAAATAAATGAACCGATTTCATTCTTTCAAGGACACAAACACTCATTAAGTAACTTACAATTACACACAACTCAAGATTATTTACAAAATATATGAAATGAATGCTTATTTAATAAGTCTATGGACTAACGGAATTGGGACCTAGGGTCTTCATAAGTTTATAACAATCTTGCAGTCGCTTCTTATCCCCGATGCGCTCCAAGGTCTTCGCTGCCTCGGCGAGCATACCGGCGCGCTCTCCCGGTAGGGAGATCAACTGCCCCGGGAGATGCCTGCAGGCGAGATACAAAGCGGCGGCATGCTGCCGCTCCCCGCCCAACTGCTGTTGATTCTTGTCTGTCAACAAACACACCGCAAAAAATTAAACTCATCATAAGCCTCATGAAATATTCATTGCGCAGATGATGTGCAAATAAAAATTAGCAAACGCAAACGTTTTATACATCAAATATTGTAATGAGTTTCCAAAAAAAAGAATTCGTACCTTTGCCGCAAATCATGCTGCCTTTCGAGTGGCGGTGGCGGAGGGATTTGTCCAAGAGTTGTTGTGTTTTCCCTGGGGCGGCACCAGCCATCAAACGTGATGTGGCTTCGTAGAGGAAAACTCGTGGCAATGCAGACTGCAAACAAATCGTTATGTTAAGACTTATTTATTAAGAATTTTGAAAAATTATTACCGGAATATGGTGCGCAATTCCCCTTAGTGAAGTAATATCCTTCTGGAAAGCTGTCAAAATAAGCGCTGGGACTGGCACACTGTTTGGATCAGCTTCCACGGCGTCTTCCCAGATAGCTGTGCGAGTTTCCAACAACCAGTCACAAACTAACAATTGTGTCAACTGCAAAGAGTAAAAAATAACATTTATTACATTTTTTGCTTTTATTTTTAATAATTAAAGCATTTGTTGCAATTTTTATCAACAAAGATTGCACTGAAGAGACATTGCATTGGAAATTAACATGCAATGCAACTACAATGCACCCTCATCAATAAAACAAATCATTTTCAATAAAACTAGAAATAAAATGAGTAATACTCACTAAAACTTTGATATTCTGCTTTTTGCAACTGTTGAATGTTAGACTATCCTCCAAAATCCGGCCGGCCATGTCACACTGCTTCAAAATAACTCTGTGTGACTCTTGATCAGTCAAATAAGATCTCCTGGCTCTGAAACCTGCGATTACTGCTTTGGGTAGAGGGTCAGCCATGTCCGCCAGTTGTTTCGGGATGTTCTCGACGTTTTTGTACAATCTCTCCGCGTTTTCGTCTTCGCCCAGCAGCCAGTAACAGGAACAAGCGATAACATTGGTCCACCATGTTGCAATTTCATCATCTTGATATTCTATGAAAAAAATTCATTTATTATTAATTTTATTACTTGATTTTGAGAGAAAATAATTATTTACTTTGTAATGTGGTATTGGCAAAGATGCTACCTGGATCTTTATCCAAATTCTCTACCAATGACTGCACATATTTCAACACATCAGTTGTATTTGTTTTCTTTGATGCATCATCGTCACCATTACTCTTACTTCCAGGCGCTACTAATGTCTGCAAGGATTTTTCAATCAAATGTTCTCGGTACAACTGCAAAAAAAAACAAATAAATATTTAGAATGATAGTCCATTACACTGGTTATGTTCTAACCTTCATAACAAACGCCATTGGTTCAGATTTATTCACCACGGTACAAAACGGTACTCCTTGCACTTCCGAATCATCATAGGTGATATTCGTAGTGGTAAGAAATTTATATCCATAAACTTGGAAAATCCACTTGAAACGTGACGGAATCGGATCGCATGTATTGGTGGTTGCATTCTTCGCTAGATTAATATAGTACCGATGGAAACCTTTCACGGTATTATAACAACTGTGCTTGATTCGTAAAGCCACGCCTACATATATGTCAATCAGTTGTAATGGCGGCAGCATGTTTCCGGCAGCTTCGGCTAGATTCACCGAAGACAAGCCGAGCACCAGTCCAGAAAGATGGCCGTACTCAGTGGGACCTTCAACGAGTTGGATTTGATTCAACGCGTGGTAGATCAGTGCCAGTTCACGACAAGAAGTCTGCGCTTCGTAGCGGACGACGCCATCAGCAAAGAAACCGCCGGTGTGACGAGACAACCATTTTCCGATCCACAATCGGTGAGTAACTTGACGAAAGAGTTGCCAGAGTACGGATGTGATTAATTCAAGCCGGGAGGTGGGTAGAGTCACACCGAAAGTTTGCAAACAACGGCGTAATTCTTGTTTTGCACGCGCATTATCTCCCTAAAGAACAAAAACAGTATTTAAAATACATAAAAAGTTTCATACGCGTAAAATCTAGTGACAAATTTGTCACTAGGTTGGTAACATTGCTGAAAAGACCCTAAACCGCAAAAAAGTTTTGCTTCGGCGTCAGTTTTAGTTGAGTTACAAATTATTACGCGTCTCAAAGTAAAATTACCTGTGAAAGATGAAAATCAGCTTGCCTACGGTGTCGCCAGAAGATCTGCGCCTCTTTGGACTTGCAAGGTACGATCGGATCGCCATAAACAAACATTTTAACGGTACAAATCCCCAAAATGAATAAGTTTATCAACCAAAGCAGAAAAGCGCCACTTGTCCATTGTAATCCCTCCGAATCGCCAACTAAACACATAAAAAATTATTCATTTCTATTTAAACTCTTAAACTGCGGGTAATTATCTTACAGCTTAATATTTTTCTCCCTGTATAATCTTGTACGCCTGTCGAAATTGAATTCAACGCAAATCCAAACGGATTAAACGAAATAACCGCCAACATGAACATACAAATCGCAATCTTTGAATGATCGAGCATGCCTTTGGTAATGCCCATGGGTTCATCATCACTGTCATATTTCATTTGACTGTATTCCGGACTCGCAGGAATCGAATGCGTTGGCGAAAGCGATGAAACATCTGAAGGTGGTGGACTTGGTTCATAGTACATTTTCACCTCCTCTGTATTCGCGCCAGCGCCCAACAAATCTTTGATTGTATTTTTCGACGCCGCCATCTTTAACGTGAAATTTTCCTGTTTCAATTTCGCGTTGCTATTTTGCAAAAAACGAATATATTCAATTGTTTTTCGCAAAATGGCGGATTTGTTCAACTTGGCATCTTCACCAACAATAATATTCTTCAACTCAATGATTTTATCATTGATTGAAGTGCGATATTTTCTTTCTATCGCGTTATGCGCCGACCGTTTCACCTCTTTGACTTTGGGTTCTTTACTCGTGAGTGGCATCCTGTTAATTGCAACTTTCTCAGAGTCCAACACAAGTGGTATACCAGTTGTGAAAAGTTGTCCATTTGTGTTTATCAAATGCACAGCTTGATTTGTTGTTCGCGGGGTTGTATACATTACAGTCGGTTGAATTGCTTGTGACTCAGATTTAATAATTTTCTGTAAAATAACAGGCTGTATTGAAGAATCCAGCTGTCCAATGTTTTGTACAACAATATTCTGTGTCTGCTGAGGTTTCTTCTTCTGTTGGGATTGGATAATCACTGGGTTTCCATTCAACTGAGAGTAAATCAATTGATCACCAGTTGTTTGAAGACTGGGTGATGAAATGATCACTGTTGCAGGTGTTGTTGTAGGTTGTGTTTGGTTAGATTTGATTGGTTTTGCTTTCAGGGGTTTAGGAACAGTGGGAACTTGTTGGGTATTAGCAGGTTGTATATTTGGCAGCAGTGGTCTTGTTGGTGTTGGCAAGTTGAAAACTTGATTCACTTGTTGTTGCTGCATTTGTGGTACTTGTGCAAAGACTTCTTCTTGTTTGATTTGCACCACAGGTTGCTGTTGTTGTTGCATCTGTAGTTGCACTTGCTGTTGTTGCATTTGTTGCTGTTGCTGTGCTAACAATTGTTGTTGATGATGTAATTGTTGCATCTGCTGCATAGTTCCACTTCCATCTAAATCATCCAACAAATTCATCATTTTGTCATCCAGGAAGGACTCGTCTCCAAAGAAATCGTTCGTGAGGATGTCATTGCCGCAAGTCATCAGTAAATCTAAAATGATTCATTTGTTGAGTTTATTTTTGAAATATTTTGAAAGAAATAAGAGGAAAACATACCGTCAATTCCGCTTAGCTCACCGAGATTAAACTCTTCCACCGGGTCCCCGGCGAAGTGATTGTTATCACCCATCTTCTTGTGTGTAATCGCACTTTTTATTATTAATCGACCATCGAAAACAATGCGATCTTAGGTAAATTGATCAAGGCACGTCTTGTTAACCGCGAGACGTAGAACGAAACGCACGATGCGCAGCAGGATCACAACACTGCGAATCGGCGAATCAGGACGTGGCCATGCGATCTGATGTTTTGACGTCGGCGAATCAGAGAATTGCGTTTAAATACCAAACGGAAAACAAAACATGTCATTACTTCTGAATTAATTGTTAACACTTGCAATTAGACAGTGATAAACTAAATTTAACATTATTTAACTGGGTTAATAATGAAAGTTATTAGAAATTTTAATTGTACTATTTACAATTTAGTAAAATTATAATACCGAATTATGTAATAACCACATTGTATAATATTTTTGGTTGGTAGGCAACCTGTCAAAATTGATTTCAAAACAAATTTACTTTGTTAGTAAGTATATTAGGTGTTTTCTCGGAAAAATTTCACTTTAATCTACTAATGCGCAAATAAACAGTTGTCGGAACCATTTTCTTTGATCAGAGCTGTATTTACGAGAATGTTTGCACAAGTTCGTGAATTTTGCATATTTTGCACAACAAAACTTGCTTTTTGCATTTCAAAGAGTTAAATGTTAATAATTTATATCAAATATGGTTAACAAAAGATCAATATTTCCATATAGTCTTTATTTATAAAAATAACGGTACATTTACCATAATATAAACTTGTAACTTTAAAAATATAACATAATAAATAGGAATTCTTCCATCCTAAATATCCAAAAGTGTAAGATTCCTGCATACACTCAACATAAACTTAAAACATATTCTTTCAATGGCTCAAAACCAACGACTAATAAAAGAAAAATCACCAATTCTGACTTAAACAACCAAACACAAAAACAAAACTCGCAACTTGAAGCAGAATAATTGCGACAACCATAAAATAAAGATTAGAACTTTGGTAACATGACAAAAATGTCACAATTATAATATTAATACTGAACTATATATGAGTATGGCGCGTGAGAGATTCACAACTAAACCTATGAGTCAATTAAAAAAAAAACAGATCATTCCATGATAGTAAACTTGCGGCAAATGGGACAGGCCGTGTTTTGGCGCAGCCACAAAGACACACACTGAAAGCAACAAATCAAAAATAAAATAATAAAATGAGACAAAAGTATAACAAAAAAAAAACAATTAACATACCTTTTCATGGAAAATGTGAGAACACTTCAACGTTACACTTGGCATCGAGTTCATCTTTTCAAAACAAATCGAACAAAATTCATCAGTCGCAACTGCTCTGGGAGGTATTTCTTCGGCAGCTTCACAGTTTTGCAGACGCAATCTAAAAACAAAGAAAAATTAATATTTTCAATTCTTAATATTTTAATTATTCAATATTTAAGTAAAAGCCTTTTTATGACAATTAATTTAATTTATACTCACTGCATCTGATGCTCGATATAATTCCCAACATTATCAAAGATAGTCTCCATGGATATCTTATGCAAATTAACATTCATCGCTTTCAAGAAATTCAACGCATTGATCAAATCATTCATCAACGCGTTAGGAAATCGTTTCTTCACTGCCAGATAAATATCGCGATATTTCCCCATAAAAACCGTCGATTCCGAAGAAGATCCAGGATTAGGCGATACAGACACATTCGACGGAATATACTGCGACTGTTGATTCCAGTTATAATTCTCCTTCATAGCCCGATCCACTCTTGGAGCTTCCACACTCCTCTGGCGAAACACCGCCGGATTTGTACTAGCATTATAAACAGGACTGGAACTAGTCGAACTTAGATTTGTCGCAGGTCTTCTCACAGCACCTCCATTCATATCAACACCACGATTATTCCCCAACGTTATATTCGTTGGATAATTCACAGCGTGCGCAATCTGCGATAAAATATTCTTCGTGGAAGGATCATCAATTTCAGGCGACGGTGCCCTGGAAACCTTTGAATAATTAGACATCGAAGACAGCGGACGATTGGAGCCGACAGGACCAAGGTTTGGTTGTGGAACTTTAGATATAGCAGTATTATAAACTCTTCTGGTATCCTGAGGTCGGTATATCTTATCCTGATCCATTAAACTCTGACTTATCAAACGCGCATTATCCAAAAGTGCGTTACTCAGCGCTGAATGTACTGGCATCATCGCATTGACAGTCAACAAATACTGATTGAACAACGTCGTGCAAAACTCATCCGTGTAAACAATCAAATCCTTCCAGTTGATGGCAATCACTTTATGCTGAATCATACTGGTATCTCTTCGATTTTCACTTCTGGTAACACAATCTTTTGCCAAAAGTAACAACGATACGTTCCGTTCGAGTTTAGCCACTACCGAAGTAAGAAACAATTGATTCGCTTCGCACATTTGTTTTATATTCAAATTCGGATTGCAGGTGTAAAAGTAATGCGTGAGTTCCTCATGCATACGTTCACAACGCACTTTGTATTGTGATATCTTAGCGATTAGCAAATTTATGAATTCTTCTATTCCATTTATGATCACATTCTGCATATCGATGACTTTGTCTTGCTCAGTCTTAAATTTGTCGTTGTATTCATTCTTGAGGCAAGAAATTCTGTCGTATAACTCGTCATATTGCTCGGATTTTTCTTTATATAGTAATTGTACTTCTTCATTGGTGTCAATAAGAGCATCACGGCGTGCTTTCATCCTGTCGAATTCATCAGTCATTTCGTTGAGTTGTCGCTGCAAGTTTGCGTTCTCCGCGGATAAATTCGCATTCAAAACTTGTAATTTTTCGTTCTCTTTAATCACTGATTTACTGCAGACTGGTTTTGTTAAATCATCCGGTGGTTTAACAACGTGTGAATACGATTTGTTCAATTTTGATAAATTGTTTTGAAGTTGTTCAATCTAAAACACGAAAATTCATTTTATTAAATTAAATTTTTACATTTTTACAATTAGTAATTTACTTGGTGTTTTTGATACTGAATATCTTTATTCTTCTCGAGAATAGTTCGTTTTGCTTGACTTAATTCTCTCTTGAGCGCTTTGAGAGTTTTGTTCTGATTGTCACCTAAATCTTTTCTAGCTTCTTGAAGTTCTAGAATTTTCCCTTCAAGTTCAGCTACTTTTTTAGTGAGCGCCGATTCTAACATATTAATATGTTTCTGGAAGTTCTGCTCTTCGGGATTATGTTTATCAGTCTGGGTTTGTTTGGTACGGCAGGAAGACTTGCTGTAATTTGTTTGAGTTTCCTTAACAGCGCGGGTATTCTTCCCAATAGGTATTGCTAAATATCTGCCACAGCATAATACACCATCACCGTTACCCATATTATAATGGTGTTGACGTATTCTGTCCAATTCACATTCACAAATATGCCCACCGCATGGCCTGTTAATATCTTTGCGAAAGTTTTGATTTTCTTCCACTGCGTGATTCTGCGCATGTTGGATATAATTCTGATGTGTGGCAGTGACCCATTCTTTTAATGCAAGTGTTCCATCGTGGTAATCATCGGGAAAACATTGAAAATGCACTTCGCCTACGGTTTGCTGCGCAAACAATCGCCATTGTCGCACACATCTGCATAGAATATCAATTTGTTTCTTAATGTAGCTGACGGCATGCTTTGAGTTGCGTCCGTGAATTTCCATGTCGTATTGGTTCCGAATCGCCATTAGATGCATATTTGTCGCGTCCATTTTGTCATAAAGCCGATTCGCAGCGGTTTCAGCTTCTAATACTTGTAAATACAACGCGCCCATTTCGCCTTCAATAAGTACATGCTTACTGAATTGCTTCAACAGCGGTGATAATACTTGTTGAAACATTTTTACTACTTTATTCTCGCAACGTGTCAAGGGATTCATGTGATGAACACCATAGGGCTTTCCAATTCTTAAAGTTATCTTGGGTTTCCTCACTCTAAATACCATAAAATTAATTTTATCTGAAAAAATTTAAAAATGAATAACATACCGTCTAACATCTCGAACAAACGCCGGTAGAACATACGTAGAAGATGTATCAGGTTGCGCATGATACAACGGCGGTTCCAGTTTGTCAAAATCAAAAACCGGTGGAAAACGAAAGGCACTTCATGGAAAGAATTCACATAAATCATGCCATTCATTCCAGAGTAATTTACTACAACTGGCTGAAGAGTACAATGTGTAGGCACATGATCCTGCCTGCAGCATCCATTACAATCAGGGCTCAATTCACATAAATACTGCTTCAAACTGGGTTCTGAATCAATACTTAAAATGAGTTGTTGATATCTCAGTGCCTCATTGACTTGTGATCCAAAACAACAACCATCAAAGTTGGTTATACTTAAAAGCATATTCAAAGCATAGTGTTCAGTCTCCATAGAATACTCTTTACAGAAACTTCTCACTTGTTTCTCCATGTTTAACTTGATTAGTTTGCCATAAGCATACAAAGCAAAAATTATGTGTCTTGGGGAATTCTCACCAAAGTTTCTAACAGTAAAAACGTCTGCTCCTGTTGCAACTTTTGTTTTGTGCTCTCAATAAGTTGAAAATTAGTAATTATAAAATCTAAACCAGAAACAATTACTTCTGCAGCTTGTTCTTTGCTAAAATAATAAAAATTTATAGCCTGGCTAATAATCTGAGTAAAAACTTAACTTACCATTTCAATTTGAGGTAACACCCTGCTAAAATTGAATACAACATTGGATAAACAAGTCCATAGTCTTCCAGAACACTTTGACAAAACTCTACACATCTTAACAACTCTGTCTGAGATTTAAATGCACATAATGCCAAGATAATTTCAAAATATGTGATGACATCTTCAGGAGATGCATCAATATACTCATCTTTGTATTCATCTGAATCGAACATATTGTACATGAACGCGGTAACATGCCAACATTTTTTAAAATTGCCCAGAAAGAGTAATTTAACCACGATGCGATGCAGACGTTCGAATCGTTCGCGTTTCAAATAAACTACATCGATGGCAGGCTGTCGTTCGTATTCTTCGAGGAAGGCGATGAAGAGATTGTCATCTTTTACGTCGTTTTCACGCTTTGCAATAACGTTGCTCGACATGATTCCTACGGGAACCACGGCGGGCTTTGTCCACAGCCGACTTGAATTCACGATGCTTGCCGGTTTTGGAAGTTAGGTTATTCACAACAAAATTGAAACTGGTTTCAATGCACATGCGCAAAAGGTAGACAACTGTGACTAAACTAAACTTTGAAATGTTAGATTAGAGGATAATAAGGTTTAGAAATGTTGATATTTTCGACAATTGCGTTGACTTACTAAGAAATTAAGTGTAGAATTGAACTTTGGCAAGTGACAGTCTTTTTTCGTTTCTCAAACAAACAAATTTTGTTTTCAGCCTAAGCAACTTTTGTTTTTTCAAAAGTGATTTGATTATTTTTCCTACATTTTTGTTTTGGTTTTACTATTTCTAAATTTGCGGGCTTTTCCTATCGTGTTAGAAGCAGTGTTGTTCATGCATCGAATAATAATTATCCGTTTCATTTTATTTTAATAAAAGTGGATGTATTTCTTCTCAATAATTATCAATCCAATGAAATTGGTTGTGGTTGTTTTGTTGTTCTCGTTTTTACAATGTTCTCGCAGCAGCCTCCTCGCTTCACGATAATAAAACGATGTAACATTACTTATCTAGTAAATAATACAATCTACAAATGAGATGCATCAATGCCATCCGGCGTCTTTGACAAAACGTAAGTAATCATAGTAAAAAAATGAGACCGATCTCCTACCAACTATCATACAAAAGACATCCTGCTTTAATGAAATCAACAAAAGACGCGCGATCAAGATTTATAAACAGTTGAAAAGAGAATTTCCATGGTTGTGTGTGTGTGTGTATGTTGGTGTTGCAAATTTAGTGTGTGTTGAAATCGCTTCAAGTTCACCAAATAAAAAAGAATCATGGGTATGGTATTGGTTTTTGTCATTGTTTCCTCCAAAGAAATGTGTTTTTGATAAAATATTCTCTTAAGCGTTAGAAATAATTAAATGTACTCCGGTTTTTTTGTGTCGTGGTGCTTCGTTCCCTCACGACGAATTGCTGTTGTCGCCGTTATCGGCGCCGTAACTGCCGGCCGCGTTTCCGTTCATCACGAACGACGTTCCCAAACCGTACAAGTGGCCGGAGAATTTCGAATCATCGATCGTATCTTCGAAAAACATCTGAAAACAAAATCATATTAAAAAAAATTTTAATTTCGTGGTTAAAGTGCAGTTTAGCGCACTTGATACTCAATATACTATTAAAAAATGCAATAAATTAATATTACCTCCTTCATTTTAAAGAAGGCCATGCCTGTGAGCAGGGAATCAGAGCCAGCTTGATGTTGCGGTCCTATCCGCTCAAGATCCAGCTGTTCGGCGACCTCCTGCAGACCGCCTTTCAAGTTTTTACACGACTTCATCAAATACTACAACCAAAAATTAGTTTTTCGTTCATTTGAGTAAATAATCATCAACGAATGATTACCTTCACATCGTAAATGGTAGGAAAGTACAATTTTAGCAACTCAAAAAAATCAGACTCGTCCATCGGCAGGTTCGAATCCGTAAGGAGTTTGATGAGATAACCAAAATCGTACCCCGAATGGAAAGACAGCCACTTAATGTTGTCCATGAGAACAATACCGGACGTCATCAGCAGCTCGGCAAAGTGCGACGGCTCAATACCCTCCTCCTCGTGCTTCTTGAACTGAATGCCCGAGTTCTGCAGCAGTTCGATACTGTCCTGTGCGTACATGTCCTCGGCGAGGTTGAATTTGAAGTTGAATTGCCATGTCGTGTACGACCCGCCCGGGGTTTTGCCGTTCTCGTCCAGGAACGTGAGGCCCAGCTGGATGATGCGCAGGAGATCGACGTTGCACCGTAGTAATTGGTACTGGTACTCGGCGGTGCTACGGAATTCGCCGATTGGACGCGCTACCACACCGGGGAACTCGGTGTCCATCGCCACGTAAGGATATTTTTGTACAATCTAAAAGATTATGGGTTTTTATTGTGTTTATGGTTAGTATATTTGATGTTTACTTGTCGTATGGTTCGAAATTCATCTTCGAGGTTGTGCGCCCAGACGTCGCGAATGCCGCACTCCTCGTTGTTGGGGTGCTGCGCGCCGCCGATGGTCGCCGCCGGCATCACGCCCCCGTTCTCTGTCGTGGTCAGTTGCGTCCAGGGGTTCTGCACCCAAATTACATTTGTGGCGGGGCCGCCGGCGGCGCCGCTGCCTTCCTGCGCTTTTACGTCGTATGCCGGCTGTGACGGCGCGCTCGCGGCGAGCTTCCACAGCAGCTCCTCCTCCGTTACGTTCAGATGCAGCTCAGGATCATTTTTACTCGACAATCTCATTGAGGCAATTTTGTATCTGCAAACACATCAATCTAACATGAACCAAGTGTGTGCGGAAATTTGTCATTCATAACATGAATGCACGCGCGTCACAAATATCAATGTATGGAGGGAAGAATGCGGGATTTTCTGGACTTCTGACTGAGTTGGTTTTGCATTTTGTGTGTGTTGCAAAAGCGGACGGTCGCCGCGCGTGCTTTTGTTGCCCAGCCTGTTTGGGGGGCTTTCAAGAGTCCCTCCGTGCGGCCGTACTCACCCATTATTGGGGCCGAAACTATCAAGTGAAAATTGTTGCAATCCGTGTGGAAACTGGCTGGAATCGTGTGATTACAATCTCATGTTCCCGTGTACACTTTTATTGTTCATACTGGATGGTTGGATGCACAGATAGAGGATAGCACGATAGCAGCGGGTAGAGCTGCCTGATTGTTGGAAGGCAATGTTGCCAATCTACAAGGTTAGGCGACATTGCGTGGCAACCACGCAAGCTTTCAAAATCTTTCAAAATTATAATGAAATTTGCTATAAAAAGACTACAACAAACACTATAGAAAATATTTCACAATGAATTTCATAACATAATAGTAAGAAATACCAGAAATAACTATAATAAACATGCAGTTTGTTTATTATCGCGTTTTACGTTTGCATTGGTTTAACAACAGGTTAACATGTTTTCACCTTAAAAAGAATGGAAAATATTCTTAAAAACAATGATTTTATCTTTTAAATAACAGTTTTATGGTTAATTTAAGTGTTTATTGTAAATTTGTTAATATTCAATTTTAATATTTTAGAATTTGCTACCCCAGCGCCATTTATGCCTCTGGTGTGATAAACGCGAACGAACCGTTGACACAAACACAGCGCAATGCAAGCCGAGTGTAATAAATGTAAACTCGCTAATCGGCGCTCTAGCGAAAAACGATTCTCTCGATTCGGCACTGAGGTTTAATTCGTTTAATTAATCCCTAGCCGATTGTTCACATGTGCGCGGTGAGGTGAAACAGGCGCAAGAAATGGAACAGAAGCCGAGCCTCGAGATGGTCTATATGGCCATCTCGACGCTGTACAGCAACCCGGTCGCCAGCGAAAAGGAGCGGGCGTCGCAGTGGTTAGGAGACTTTCAAAAATCCGTAAGCAATCTAATTTCGAAATCATATCTATAATCGCTATAAGAATTGTTGGGATTTAATTTTAGGTCCATGCGTGGACAATAGCGGACGAAATTCTGCATCACAAGCGCGATTTGGAGTCATGTTACTTTGCGGCGCAAACAATGCGCTCAAAAATTCATCAGTCTTTTCACGAGTTACCATTGGAGGCACACGCCAGTTTGAGGGATAGTTTGCTGGAGCACATCAGTCAGATCACTGAGGGGACAAACTCAGTGATTGTGACACAATTGTGTCTGGCTTTGAGTGATTTGATACTGCAAATGCCAACTTGGCAGCGAGCACCTTTGGATTTGGTTTCTAGTTTGTCACAGTCACATTTGTGGCCTTTACTGGAAGTCTTGATAGTTTTACCTGAAGAATTGGAGAGTAGATCAGTTAGGTAATAACTTAATAATTAATTTTTACTCTAAACTTGTAAAATAAATTCATTATTTCGCAGGTTAGGTGAAAATCGAAGACAAGATGTAATAGAAGAACTGAAACAATGCGCGCCGACGGTCAACGAATTCCTCAAACACTGCTGTAACCAATACAACAGCAGTTTGCATGATAACATTCAGATCAACGTGAAAATCCAGCGCTGTTTCACCTCGTGGGTCTCACTCGGCGCGATAACACTTGACGATGTCGTGGATAATGTTGTGATTAACCGTAGTCTTCAAATTTTAAGTTACAAGCAAGAAACTGAGGCGATTCCGCCCATAGCGGGCGTTTTACATGACGCAGCCACCGATTGCATATGTACTCTGCTGCAATCTCTCGAGGATAACAACAATCAACAGAATCTGGAGAGTTTTCTCTTTTCTAATGTCATGACACTCGAAGTTCCCTACCATCTAAGCGTGGCGAATGAAGACCAAGAGAAGTCGATGAATTATTGTCGTATTTTTACGGAACTTGGCGAAACTTTCCTGGAGAAGATTCTCATGCAGACCAACGAGGCCTACAAGCACTACGCGATTAAAGTTTTAGACATGGTGCTCATTTGTGTCGGGCATCATGATTTCGAAGTCGCTGAAATCACGTTCAATTTGTGGTATTTGTTAAGCGAAGAACTCTACCAGAAGAATAACAAAACATTAACGGAGTTGTTTAGATCTTATGTCGAGCGGTTGGTTACAGCATTATGTCGACATTGTCAAATGGAACCAGATCAGGAAGGTTTGCTGGAAGACGGCGATGATTTTAAAGACTTTCGATTGAAAGTCTCCGATCTTGTCAAAGATGTTGTTTTTATCATTGGCAGCAGTAGTTGTTTTCGACATATGTTTATGACACTTCAAAGGCCCGAGGTTACTTGGGATGTATCCGAATCAGCATTGTTTATTATGCAAGCGGTTGCTAAGAATGTGCTACCAACTGAAAATGAAGTTGTGCCCAAAGTTGTCGAAGCCATTTTGGTAACGCCTGAAAACACGCATATTGCTGTACGATACACATCGGTGATGTTATTGGGCGAATTATGCGAATGGATTGAGAAACATCCGGAGATGTTGGATCCTGTATTGAATTTCGTGGTTTGTTGTTTGCCGCAAGCTGGGGTTGGTGGTGCGGCAGCCACGGCGTTACAGAGTATTTGCGCAAAGTGTAATGAGCACATGCCGCGACATGTTCCTGTGCTTTTGCAACTGCTACGGCAGGTGGACACGTTTGCAATCACGAATAATGCTGTCATGGGACTTTTAAAGGTAAATTATTTATTTTTTAATTTAAAAAAAATGAAATTTAAAATGTTTTATGGTTATTTTTTTAAGGGAGTTGCTCATATTTTAAGTAAAATGGACAGTGAAAACATTGTAAACTCTTTGAGAGAGTTGTGTTTGATGCAAATCAATCCACTGATGAGTTTAGCTGAGCAACAGAATGTTCCTGCCGTGAGGGGAACAAAAACCGATCCAGTTTTATGGCTCGATAGGTTATCATCGATTTTTCGAAGTTTGGTTGTTCCCGCTCAAGAAAGTAAGTTTTATTCTAACATTAATTCAAAAAATTATTTATTTTTATTTTCCAGACACGATAAATCCGTGTAAACCAGTAGTGCTCGAAGTATGGCCGGTATTATCCATGGTAATGGACAAATACCAAAGCGACGTGCGAATCATGGAACGCGCCTGTCGTGCGGTGCGTTTCATGCTGCGCTGCGTCAGTCAACAAGTGAAAGAAATGCTTGAATCGCTAGTGTTGCAAATCGTGACAATTTACACATCGCATCCGCACTCGTGCTTTTTATACTTGGGCAGTATTCTCGTCGACGAATACGGCACAGATCCAACTTGTATCTCTGGTCTGCTTGAGATGCTTCAAGCTCTGATTAATCCAACATTTCAATTGCTACAAGCCGAAAATGGTTTGCGACATCATCCGGATACAGTCGATGATTTCTTCCGACTTTGCGCGAGATACATCCAACGTGCACCGATTCCTTTCCTGCGCAGTCCGGGCATTCCACCGATTTTAGAATGCGGATTGTTGGCGTGTTCGCTCGACCACAAAGAAGCGAACACATCAGTAATGAAATTCTTTAGTGATTTGATTAATACAGGCCGAAACAATCGAAGCAGTTCGGATTATACGGAGCGAAAAGAATTGGTCGGCAGTATTTTACAGAGATACGGCGCGCAATTGGTGCACAATTTGATTCACGCATGCGTGTTCTACCTGCACTCGTACATGTTCAGCGAGGTGGGCGATGTGATCGTGGAGATGCTCAATGGCGACCGGGATGCCGTCTCTGGATGGCTTGCGGAGGCTGTTAAAAGTCTGCCGAAGCAGGTCAGTAATGGGGTTATCAATGTAACGGAGCAACAGATGAATGGATTTCATGCCACTGTTTACAAGTAAGAAATTCTTTACAAACTTCTCTTTTGTTGCGGGTTTTGTTAAAGTATTGTTTGTAGATCGACCTCTTCCAAATCGGTGACATACGCCCTCAAAGATTTAGCGGCACTTTACCGCTAGAAGAGAAAAAAATTAGGACAAACGAATGATGACGACCGCTGGACGCGGAGGCAAATCGACAGGACAATGTAAATATTACAATTTTATATATTACTTTTTTTCTATTGTGGTCAAACGCAGGATGATCATCATCGATCGCATTTGTTGCCATTGACGTATATGTGTTTTGCGCAGACAACGCACCCACACATTGTTAGAAAAAAGTTAAGAAAATAACTTGTTTAATAAACATAAAGAGATGTGACGATAACCAATCTCGCATGCATCACATCGTATATAGATATAATAGACTCCCAAATTCCTGCGTCGTCTACGCCCTCACATGTGACTAGTGAAATGTGTGTATTTTCATTCGCTTCATAAAAGACTATAAATTATAACATTCGCTCTAAAGATATCAAAGTATTCAAAAAGTTAAACAATTTGTGTGTTCGTAAGTGGTAAGTCAGTGGAATTCGATGCAGCGCATACTCATCATTTAAGTCGCGTGTAGGACAGATGAACTTAAGTCACTGGTTTGATACTTCTGCAACGATTAAACATTGAACAAATTCGTCCGTTTACACGTGATAATCGACCAGCGGTGAATCCAACTTGCGCGGTACAGAAGTACAAGGCAGCAGCCACATGAACGGATGCTGCCGGCCGCATACTTCGCTCAACAGCGTCATCTTCGGTTTGTGCGGCCGGTATGGGCCCGCTTTTTGCACTTGTTCCACGGCGGTTTCGTCACTCATGATGGCCTGCAGTTGATCGACGAGGATCGCCGTCACGAACAGGCCAAAAAGGGAACTTTCCAGCAGGAGAATCACTGAGTGCATGCTGGAAATATACAAAAAACAATAGAAGTAAGTTTTAAATGTTTAGTTAAAAGTTTAAGTTGTGTAGTAATTTACATTCTCCGCTGTTTGATCTCGATGTCCTCGTCACATTTGACGCACTCTGTGACGTAGGTCATGACGATTAGTGAGATCGCGTAGCCGGAGAGCGCGCCGACCCAGAGGAGGAACTGAATGAAGTACTTCTGGTTGCGCTCGCCAACGCAATTGTTGATCCAGGGGCAATGGTGGTCCATGCGGCGGATGCACCGTCGGCAGATGCGACAGTGGTGTGCGCGCGGTGGCCGGTAAGTTTCACATCTTGTACAGATTGTCCAGTCTACATTAATGTTGCTATCTAAAGAAAATTCCAAATTTAATAATTAATTTTAACCAAATTAATGGAGAAAATACGAAGCGCAGAACGTATTTTTTGCAAAATAAGCGTAAATATTTACACTACTTACGACTATCAGTACTGTGAGCATCACTAAAGTCTATCCTTATTGTTGGCAGTGGCACAGTGCCTGGATCACAGAAAACTGCCTTGCTGTGTGCCATCAGTACCATAAACACCACCAAATTGAACATTATAGCGTTCACTGGCGCCCATAAACTAAGATTCAAGCAATTCCCGAATAGATTTAATTAATTTTCTATGCAAAAACAATCAAATTTCATCTCTTACCTATCTGCAAGTGCTTGCAGAATAATCCACTTGATAACCACATAATCTGCATAGAGAATTGCAGCGTACGTGATCAAAATGCACACGACGCCGCAGGGATCCTTGATAAACATCTTCTCACTTAATTTATTAATACTTTAAAATCACTTTTTCTTATCAATTAGCTTTGTTCTTCATATCAATTGCTGTGATGTTATAAAATGATGTCACTGTTTATTCCTGCATGTAAGTCCATTTTGTGCTTCATTAAACACGCACAAAACTCCGCTCGATTTATGAGTTTTAAGACTGGTCGTACTTTGCATTTAGTACACTTGCTGTGTGATGATTTATCACGTAGTTTTGATTGATTAATGTAGGTTTTTCTTAAATATTAATATGTAAAAGTTGATGACACGGGCCAGCTGTTAAGTGTCACGGTAGAGAATTACCACTAGAGGCAACTCACCTTACATGTTTTTTGTATAAATTACGCTTAAGTTATAAAATATTTATTTTTTTGAGGAATTTAACAATTTTTGGAAGCAGAAAGTTATTTTAATTTATTATTAGTTATTTTAGTACTAATAGTCCATATAATTCTTGTTTTATCCTTGATTTTCTTAAATTTTAGTAGACTGGGTTGCCTATGCTGAGGAAGGGAATATTTTAGGTTTTATAACGGCGCAGTTCGGTTAATTTCGTGATGCTTCGGAATTAAAGGGCACCAAACAATTGAACGCACTGTTTACATATCCTAACGTATTTTCCCGCTCGTCCAGAAGTTTCCATGGATGAAAGAGTATTTTTTAACAAGGGCTATTGGAATTTGTATTGAAAGTTATTCACCGGGTCCAATAACATATGGTACAACGTGTTTACTGTTGTTTTGGTTGATGTGCAAGGTGTTTCTTTATGCATTAACATATTATTTGCTCATTGATTCCTTGGAAGCTATAACTGTAACCTAACAAAATGTCGGAGAAATGTCGCAGTAATATTGGAGATTTATTTCAACAGCAACTAGGACTTCGTAAGTTTAATTGCGTATTTTATTTGTAAAATTATTGTTTTCATCATATATCTTTGTGTGCAGGAACGTTAAAATCCTATGACGGTTGTTTGCGGCGTTTGCGATGTTCCCAGGATGATGATTACAACTGCATCTGGGGATGTCAGGAAATGCGGGATGATGCGATGCCAGACACTCCGATTTTTGCATGTAAATTTTCCAACAAAAACGGTACTTAATCCTAAAACAATTGAAAAATATTTGTCTTTAACTTATATTTAAAATCTAGGAAATCAACATCTTCTAGCAATGGCAAACGAAGACGGCAAATTGGTAATCCACGATACGCAATCTTCGTCCCCACGCAAAGGCGAAGACATTCACCACAATGCGATTTTTGATCTTGCGTGGCTGGCGGAAAGTTTCAAACTCATTACAGTTTCCGGTGATCGCACAGCGCGACTCGTAGACATCGAGAACGACATGCAAGTCACGCAAATCTTCATGGGACACACGCGATCAGTGAAGACAGTCGCAACCCGTGACGGCGATCCGTCAACCTTTGCAACGGGCAGTCGCGATGGTAGTATTCGCGTATGGGATACGCGCTGCGCTACAGCCAGCGTCAGCCATCTTGTTCAGCCGGATAGAACAATTCCCAATTCGCATTGCAGGACGACACCAACAAGCAGCAGCAAGCGTAAAGCTGCGGTAAGTCAAGCTGTAACAGCGGCTAATTCAGTAACTAGCTTGGTATTCCAAGATGATGATAAATTGATTTCGTGCGGATCTGGGGATGGGTTAATCAAAGTCTGGGATTTGCGCAAAACTTACATCAGCGGCAAACCTACCGCGATGAAAGAAATTGCTTATAGCGGTCATACTACGCGAAATGGATTTAGTAATCTTTTACTGGATAAATCTCGACAACGTTTGTACGCCAATTGCTTAGACAATACAATTTACGCGTACAATATAGCAACTTATCATCCGCAACCTGTTATGGAGTATAAAGGACATCAGAATAGTACTTTTTATATAAAAGCTGCGCTGAGTAACGATGGTAATTATTTGCTCAGTGGTAGCAGCGATCAGAATGCGTATATTTGGAATATAAATAATAAATATCCAATTGTACGCATGGTTGGACACACTGCGGAAGTAACTTGCGTCGCCTGGCGGCAAGACGGCGAAACTACAGTGGTCACTTGTTCGGATGATGTGAAGCATAAAATATGGCGTATCGGACCTGAGTATCTTCCGGATAATTGGTCCGCTGAAGGTAGAGGTGCTGCAGAATGTTTGAGCCCAGTCACAACGCCAACTAAAAGCCATCAGTCGTTGAAACGACACTTGGAAGTGAATGAAAATACGCCGGTACAAGTTAAGCTACCCAAGATGGACGTTATGAAACGTGAATTAGAGGGCGCTGCATCACCCGAAGCTAAACGATTCAATTCCGGTCGACGATTGTTTGCTCTGCAGGAAATCAACGAGGAAAACGAATGCGAACACCATGCTGACCGCCATATGAGAAAAGCAACAACTTCCACTGCTGGTACTCAGGGAGATCTCGCTGTTATTCTTGAAGATACACCAGATGAAGAGAGTTTTAAAACGCCAAAGGCGAGTGCTATTCATAAAGCAACCGCAGCTACAACACCAGAAGATACTTATTCTCCCACAACGAATTTGCCCAATTTCGTGGTCGATGGCAGCGCACCACATTTACATTTTTCGCCGCAAAAGCGAATGCCTAAAGACTGGCTGACGAATATGCGCCGCGAGCGGTCTCTGGTAAAAGAAATGCAGGACTTGGCAGCGGGGCCATCTTCACCAAAAGTACCACGATTGGAAGATCAAGGATACCCAAATCCAACGCCTAGTCCTAGCTCGAGGCATAAGACGCCAAAGAGGCGAAACAGTCGCTCCGGCTCGGCAGGTGCATCAACTTCAACAGGTCAGAGCCCCATTTTGAAATTTTTCAGAGTCTCAAACAGTAACATTCTCAATAATACGCAATGCTCCCCGAAATCTCCTTCACTCCTCACCGCTACCAATAAAATGCGGACAGCTGAGGGGTGAATTGTATTCAACCCGAATGAGAATCTCATTTTTTAATGTTTAAGTTATTTATTTGCAAACATTTTGCAAACTTTCATTCTGCTGTGAATATTGATCGTCATATATATTATTATTTAAAAATTAAATTTTAACAATTTTAATAGGTTTGTACTGCTATATTTGAACAAATCACGGACTAGTGAGATTCGTGATTTCTGTTTGACTACTACTACAAAACATAGTGATAACTTTAGGCAGCAGCGTAATTTTCACCGGCTTTACTTCAAAGTCATCTTTATCAATGGAGAACCAGGCGTTTTGCGTGTCCATTTTTTCCAGATTTGGACGCAATTCAATCTGACGAGCCTCGATAGTCTCGACAATTTGCCGCCTCTGGCCTGTTTCGCTTCGGAAACCTTCAGTTAAGAAGTTGAAGTAATCAACGTCTTGTGGTCCCAAATTTAAATGCAACTTTGGTGGTGAATTGTTTGCAGTCCCAGCGAATATATTGGACGTGAGACATGCGAAATCCGCGGTGGATATTTGTTTCTGTTCGTATTTTTGGCAGTTTTCGTTGATAATTCGCGATCTGTCCTCTTTTTTCGCAGTAGAACGAACAAATCTGAAATATTTAACTTGAATATGTTCAACTAACTATAAATATTGTTTTTACCTGTTGTACCATTTGGTATTTTTTTCTTCTATATGTGTGACACAATTACTGCAACCCTCGCAAGGTTCAGAGTAATTTACAAGTGCTTCACATTTCCAGTTTAATGAGTCTTTGTACCCATTGAAAATGTAAGTGGCATATTTTTTTAATGGTCCATAATACCAATATTTATCTTTTTTAGCACTAGCATCGCGATATGCACCCCATTCTATTCCGGCAAGAGCGTACACTGCTTTCTTTTCCTGCACTTCATCACCTTTCTCTCCATCCTGTATAGTATCAGCATCTGGTTCATTAATAATCTCAATCTTCATGACATCCATTGGTTTGGTGGCTTCTCTAACAATAGCCATAGATGCTTCTGCCATAGATTTGACATTTCCTAGATGCTCACCACCTGGAAAGAGTGCTGAACCTACTGTGTTTGATTTGCCCAGTGGTAACACTCCAATGGGAATTAGTTTACTGTTATTCTCTCCTGTTCTTCGAATTAAACCAGTGACAACTTCACTCAGTGTTCCATCACCACCTGCCACAATCAGTGCATCAGTGTTTTTCAGCTCCTGCACCAGCTTCTTGGCATGGCCTTCACTCTCTGTGTGCACTACATCTACACAAATTCCAGCCAGATTCAGTATGGGTGAGCAATATTTTTCATAATCTTCCAGGGAACTTCTTTTATTGGCAGCTGGGTTTAGTATGACAGTGATTTTTCTTGGTAGTGTGTTGCCTGTGATAGCCACTTTGCCATAAGTGAGGGCTTCTTCACAGTACACTTTCATGATTCCATCAATTCTACAATAAGTTTTAGTTGTTAATTGGAGGGATTTAGTTAAGAATTAGGTGAATGAATAACTGACTCATATTTGTTTTTAAGGCGCTTGGCGCCGTAGGCTAGGAGGCATGCTGCAAAGGTTGACTTTTTCCAGTGGTTTCGGACTCCTTTAGCAAATTTAATAACAAATGCCATTTCTTGCTGTTCAATCACCTATTTTCAAAAACACATGTATGTTCTGGATAGACGTCAGAATATTTCAAAGCAATACTATTTCGTGGTTAGGTACAAACTCTAAGGACTTAGAGGTAAACAAATCTCATATAAGTTCAGTATTTTGCTAGATATGTTTAAATTTGGGGTTTAACATTGCGGTTTGTTATATTTTTTATGACTTCTTTGTTTTTTTTAACTTATTAATAATTTAATTTTGAATATGCTAGCGCCATCTAGTTTTCAATTATGGGAAGTATTATTGTCTTGTGATGCGGCAAAGGGATCATAGATGGCGCGGTGATGCATGTTATCAGCGAAAATAGTTGAGAGTCAATTTTATCGTGCACCGGCTGCGTTACCGGCTCGCACACATTTCTCACTTGTGTAGTCATATTCTTTTGTCGAAATTCGGTAATCTCGTAATAAGTGATTGACTATTGATGATATTTTGTTGTCAATTGTCGTGTTTGGTATTTTGCTGATAATTTCCCGCTAGTGTAATCGTCGTGATTGTAAATTTAGTGCGTTTATGTTTTTGCGGGCGTTCGTGCGTCTGCCGTCGGATGACGGCCGGTGATATCTTGTGATTGTTAAAAGAATTACCCTAAATTTTGAACTAGTGCAACTACATTTGTCATTAGCATAAGTTTTGGGGATAATACGCTACCAGGTAATTATTATCATTTGAATAATTATAGTGAATAACATGTATTTTAAAGTAAAGGCTGAGTGCCGACGGAACGCAGATCTTTACTCGTATTTTGTATGAAATGTTTTAACTAATTTTGTGTTTTTTTTTTTAATTATTATTTTAGTATTCCTTTTCCTTGATTGCTGTTGTTCGATACACAGGTACGTGAAATAATTCAGTCATTCTAGTACCTGTTTGCCGTCTAAATATCATGTTTAGTTCCCTGTGAATTTTTCAGAAAATGTCTTTACAATTTTAAAGTTTTCTTATTCGTATGCTCATTAACATACTATACTGAGTTTTTTTTTATTTTCGTGAAATTTAGCTGCACGGCATATGATAGTATTTTTCCACACCAAAATAAAAATAGGAGTTTTCAATCTTTCTTTTTTAAAGATTCAATAAAACATATATTTTATTTTAGTGAAATATTGTGATTATCATTTAATTATTTTATTTTATTTATTTATTTAATATATTATTCATAGATTTGTCAGGTATTTATAATTTTTATAGTTCAAAGTAAATTGAAATTCAAATTCAAAGCATTACGCACGAGAATTGTAGGTATTGGATTGAATACAATGCGCTCTGTTTGTTCATAAACAACTTTTTTATTGCATTACACGGGTGATATGCAGCGCGCAAGACTCTTGTGACCTTGTAGCCATCCTCGCTAGCCGCACGCTGGCGGCTCTAGTAGATGCGGTATGCAGCACATTCGAGTTCAGGCCTGATTGCCGGTGTCGGGCCTATTGCAATTCGTGCAACAAAATCACATACTATTGGCATGCCGCTGCACGCACCGCTTCACCGTGCTATCAGTTCCGGGGTGCGGGCAGTCGGCAATCTTATCTTTTTGCCGCGTGACGTCGTTGCATTCTCGGCTTCGACATGCTATTTTTGCGCACAGTTCCATAAATTATACACACACATACAAGTACATTGTTATGAATAGTTCCGTGCCGGTCGTTGGTTGATGTAGACGCATTCCTCGCGGTTCATGTAATTTCTCCCGATTATAATTCCGGAAACTCGCGTTGAATTTGAGCGATAATCAACTATTTAATTGTAACTAGCGTGTATTGTATTTTGTGAACAAATAATCGGCAGTGAATGTTAATAATTACTTGTTTTGTGATATTGTTAGATGTGCGCGTTGCAAAAACAAAATATGGCCACGTTATCACGTGTCGCCACTGCCTGTTTGGCTCACACGGCGGATTGTGGGTTGTTTGGTTTTGTGCTGGATGATTCGGTCATATGTCTCGCGGCGCAAATCGTGAAGTAAGATGCCGTCGGCTGGAAGTCATTTTTATTTTCGTCTCAACCATCTTGATTCTTGATTGATCATGGGGACGGTGTCCGCTTGAGTAAGTTACATAAATCTAGCCCAGTCTCTTGAAATAGCACGAATACACGCGGTTTGTTTCAATAATGAAATGTCTACAACTGCTTCAGTATAATATAATCTGTATATATAAAAATGAAACCCGTTATAAATTCCAAGAGTAATACTGCTTCCATCATTCATAAATTGTACCAGCACGAACTACAAATCATAAATTAGAAGTGTATTCGTTTCGAACACAATTTTGTTATCTGCGTTTGTATATAAACTACTTTTTTATCGAATGTGTCCCGCACGCCGTCTCCTCACGCCGCATTTACTTGCTGCATGCAGCGTATTTCAGTTTAGTATAAATCGCAGGTATCCGTGTCTATTGCAATTCGCGCACAAGGTCGCGTGTGCTAATGCCTTGCACCTCATGCATTTACACGCGGACTCGGCATGCCTCAGCATACTCGGTTATGCTGCGGCCAGTTTCTTGCCGGTCTCTAGTTGCTTTGGACGTGCCTCTCGCGGATCATATCATTTTCTCGGAGTTTGATTTATTAATCCGCGTTGTACTAGATTAATAATGGAGTAAATTTTTACCGCTGCGGTTTTATCGTGTGCAGTTGTCGTTGCCGGTCGCTTCATTCCGCCGTTATGTTGATTTATTTATCATTAGGATGATCCATCTGTCTTCTCTAGGTAATTTTTACTTGAACAACATAGATTATTTGTTTTCTTTTAATGTGCGAATGTAACTTTAATAAATTTTATGAAATGTTTTAACTTGTGTTTCATTTTATTTATAGTACTTTTCGAGTCTTGGATTCCGATGAGTTCTGCTTTGGTAAGTTAATATTTTAATTATATTTTTCATTTATACTCACGCGTCACATTTTTTTGAATCGCGTGGCATCTCTCTGTCTCTCCAAAACATAAGATAGTCGCGTATCATGCTAAAACATCACGGAATTAAACTTTTAGTTTTTTTTTGCATATTTGGTTCGTACCAGAATTCTGTTAGGCGATGCATCTCCACCCCCTCAGATTTCCGCAATTTGTTCCTATTTATCTCTTTTAGTTTACGAGATATTCGCGATTGAATAAAATAGGCAAAAATTGAAAAATGTCACTTTTTAGTACTTTTAGTGGCGATTTTTGGGCTATTACTGTTGGAAATATAATTATTTTATATTTTTATCTGATAGAGAATTTTCCAATCTTTCATAATCAGCAATTCGTGGGTTGCTATCCCCTTTAGTTTAAGAGATATTAATTATTGAAAATCGTCGAAAAAAAGTATCAAGCACCCCCCCTTGGCAATTTTTTCTTAAGAATTAAAATTTCATCTCTCAGATTTCCGTTTTAACTATCCTATCTGATAGAGAATAGTCCGTAGATTAAGATGCTGCGATCAGATCCAAATTATCTCTTTTAGTTTACGAGATATTCGCGATTAAATAAAATGCGCAAAAATTGAAAAATGTCACTTTTTAGAACTTTTAGTCGCGTTTTTCGACCTTTTACTGTAGGAAATATAATTATTGTATATATTTATCTGATAGAGAATTTTCCAATCTTTCATAATCAATAATTCGTTGGTAGCTATCGCTTTTAGTTGAAGAAATATTAATTATTGAAAATCGTCGAAAAAAAGTATCAAGCATCCCCCCTTGGCATTTTTTTCTTAAGAATTAAAATTTCATCTCTCAGATTTCCGTTTTAACTATCCTATCTGATAGAGAATGGTCTGTAGATTTAGACGCTGCGATCAGATCCTAATTATCTCTTTTAGTTTACGAGATATTCGCGATTAAATAAAATAGGCAAAAATTGAAAAATGTCACTTTTTAGTACTTTTAGTGGCGATTTTTGGCCTATTACTGTTGGAAATATAATTATTTTATATTTTTATCTGATAGAGAATTTTCCAATCTTTCATAATCAGCAATTCGTGGGTTGCTAGCCCCTTTAGTTTAAGAGATATTAATTATTGAAAATCGTCGAAAAAAAGTATCAAGCACCCCCCCTTGGCAATTTTTTCTTAAGAATTAAAATTTCATCTCTCAGATTTCCGTTTTAACTATCCTATCTGATAGAGAATAGTCCGTAGATTAAGACGCTGCGATCAGATCCTATTTATCTCTTTTGGTTTACAAGATATTCGCGATTGAATAAAATGGGCAAAAATTGAAAAATGTCACTTTTTAGCACTTTTAGTCGCGTTTTTCGACCTTTTACTGTAGGAAATATAATTGTTCTATATATTTATCTGATAGAGAATTTTCCAATCTTTCATAATCAATAATTCGTTGGTAGCTATCGCTTTTAGTTGAAGAAATATTAATTATTGAAAATCGTCGAAAAAAAGTATCAAGCACCCCCCCTTGGCATTTTTTTCTTAAGAATTAAAATTTCATCTCTCAGATTTCCGTTTTAACTATCCTATCTGATAGAGAATGGTCCGTAGATTAAGACGCTGTGATCAGATCCTATTTATCTCTTTTAGTTAACGAGATATTCGCGATTGAATCAAATGGGCAAAAATTGAAAAATGTCACTTTTTAGTACTTTTAGTGGCGATTTTTGGCCTATTACTGTTGGAAATATAATTATTTTATATCTTTATCTGATAGAGTATTTTCCAATCTTTCATAATCAGCAATTCGTCAGTTGCTACTTCTTTTAGTTTAAGAGATATTAATCGAAAATGAAACTTATTGCAAGAAAATTCCGTAATGCTAGTTATATAGAAAGTTGTGTGTACACCGTAGTACTCGTTGCGCTAGGAATTGTAGTTTTTCCTAGTATCGCACGCGAACGCGGTGTCATAATAAGTTTAGAATATATGTCCCAGATGCGGAATTTAATTTTGTATCACTCTGTATTTGAATTTATTGCGACAAAATTCCGTAACGCGAGATATATTGAAAGTTGTGTGTATGGGCCGTAGTACTCGTTGCGCCAGGAATTGTAGTTTTTTTAGTACAGCATGCGAACGCGGTATCATAATAAGTTCCGAATAATTGTCCCAGATGCAGAA